CAGCAGTGGGCTCCCCATTTAGGCCCATTTCACTTATGTGCACAGGGGGCCGGAATGTAACCCCCACGTAATTGGGGAGTACTTGCTTCGACAGATAAAGCATTAGAATGCTAGTCCAATTCAAAAAGATCTAATGACCTGTTTTTATGAGAAATACTTGGGAGGTGAATTGCAACTACTGGTGACTGACTTCAGTGCTCCGATTCCTAGGGCATGTTTTTAAGAATTGGTTGGTGAGTCTGGGAGGTCACTAGAAGTCTTGAATATCTCACTACTGTTATTTCTTAATTTCTTCAGTTTGGCTATGCCCATGGTTTACTCTGTGGATGAGTGTGCCTTTTCCCACAGATGCTTCTTGCATCTAGCATTCAAAAAGGGATCTTCCTTCATCTTCTTTTAAATGTAGGAGCAAATGGTGTGGTAGACTTATAATCTGGTGATACCAAATTATTTGGTGAGTGAAAATGGCACTGGTGGAAAGAAGTACAAACATCTGAGGAATTGAACCCTGAACCATGATGGGAAAGGGAAATGTCTGGGTTTGTTGACTTTGAGAGTAACCTGAATGAAGCGAAGAGCAAACAAACGAATGTTGACAAGGGGAAATTTAAAATATGCCTTGTGGGGATGTAAAAATGCTAAACTTACAGCTGTGATACGGGCACAGTGCATCCTTATCCACAAATCTGACCAGCAGCCTTTTCAGCTGTTGTGTTCTTCAGGTTTTCTTGGGCTGTTTGTTTGTTTGTTTCCCTGGCATAATCCATAGCATGCCAATATCCTTTCTTTATTGCAATGTCTGGATCTGGGTAAGGGATCGTATCACTGACCTTGCAAGCAGCTGCTGTTCCGAATTCTCCTGGTTTTGAAAAGTCTGTTGCATATAGCTGTATCTACCTGTTATCTGAAGAAGTGTGCATGCACACGAAAGCTCATACCAATAACTACCGTATTTTTCGCTCTATTGGACGCAGTTTTTCCCCTCCAAAAATGGAGTGGAAATGTGTGTGTGTCCTATGGAGCGAATGCAGGCTTATGCCATAGCTGCGCGCAACCCCTCCGGCAGGGAAAGGCTGCACGGGGCTAAAGGGGAAGCCAAAAACAGGGAGCGGGATCCATCCCGCTCGCTGCCTTGGCTTGTGCCATAGCCGCGTGCAACCCCTCCGGCAGGGAGAGGTTGTGCGCAGCCTGTACGCTGCTCTTTGGGGCTGGGGGGGAGATTTTTTTTCTTGATTTCCCCCCCTAAAAACTGGGTGCGCCCTATGGTCCGGTGCGCCCTATGGTGCGAAAAATACAGTAACTTAGTTGGTCTCTAAGGTGCTATGGGAAGGATTTATTTTATTTTATTTTATTTTAATTATTTTATTCTGTACATCTCAGGAACACATTCACTATTGAAATTCAGCCGCCTTTTGAGTGTGAGGCTAGAAGTTGTCTGAATTCCTTGCAGCATGCCTGTCACCTCATAGTAAAGATATTTGCCTAGTGTTGCCAGGATAACTGCTCCCCCCCCCTAAAATTGGCATGAATCTTAAATGCCCCTGCAAATGAGATTAAATTATCTGTTAAGATAGGACCCCACTCTGTACACATGTGTTATAGAAATAATAGCTCTAGCTCACTTTTATGTCTTAATTTTTTTTTAAAAAAAATGGGAAGCTTAGAACAGCTTTCATTGTTTTATTGTGCATACTTGTATCATTTCTTTAAAGGTGAATTATGGGTGAAGTATTTGAGATGAAGCAATGAGAGCTGTAGACTGAAAAATTGTTGCAGTGATAGTTAAACTTTGATCCCGATCCCCCCAATTTTATATACAACTGTAAATCTTAATGGCAGTGGGAGGGGGGTGATGCATAAGAGAGATATTACAATAAATTACACTCATAACAGTTTTCTATATGTGTAATATAGAAATATTTAAATCTGTAGCATCATTCCGTGGATACCTCTTGCATTTTGATCATCTCGTTTCATTGCAGATACTGACCTGGGTTGCACAACATAGTTAGCTGAGTGATGAGTGTCTTCAAACTGTCAGGATGGTATCCCACACGAGCCTATTCAGAATAGTCCCGTTATATGACTAACGTAGGTTCATTAATTTCACTGGGTCTACTCTGAGCAGGACTTAGTTGGCTACAGCCCAATGTATTTGACAGGATTCAAGGGTGTCCTGGAACTGCCCAGTTAACGTGGTTTCAAGCCTGCAGGACTTTTTGTGGTTTGGAAAGCGACAAGGCAGTGAATGCACCGAAACATGTGGGGTGAAGAAAGGATTTCTAGGAAGATGTGTTAACATCCCCACGGGCAAATTAGGAGGAATGCAGAAGGGATACTCCTTCTCATACATGTATTTGGACGATAGTAGTATTTATATACAGGAATGCGGGTGGCGCTGTGGGTTAAATCACTGAGCCTAGGACTTGCCGATCAGAAGGTCGGTGGTTCGAATCCCCGCGACGGCGTGAGCTCCCGTTGCTCGGTCCCAGCTCCTGCGAACCTAGCAGTTCGAAAGCACGTCAAAGTGCAAGTAGATAAATAGGTACCACTCCAGCAGGAAGGTAAACGGTGTTTCCGTGCGCTGCTCTGGTTCGCCAGAAGCGGCTTAGTCATGCCGGCCACATGACCCGAAAGCTGTACGCTGGCTCCCTCGGCCAATAAAGCGAGATGAGCGCCGCAACCCCAGAGTCGGCCACGATTGGACCTAATGGTCAGGGGTCCCTTTACCTAGTATTTATATACAGTATCTGCATAATAATGTATGGAAATGTAACTGATCATATTTACTGTTTTCTTTTATTTTTTCTTACTGTATTTTTGCACTTTTTTCTCCCTCTACTTTTCTTTCTTCTTTCATCACTTTATTTTCTATAACTTTATTGTCTATAACTGAAATTCTCTCTCTCTCTCTCTCTCTCTCTCACACACACACACACACACACACACACAAACTCAGAGCTTGCAACAAAATTGTAAGAAATGCCAATAAAGAACAGGCATAGTTTAACCACTGTGTGAGCAATAAAATCAGGATTAATTGCGAATAAGCAGGTGGCCTGCAGAAGCCGTACAGTTCCTGGAGGCTGCTTTGGGTTTTTTTTAATGTATCTATGTGGGGTTTTGTTTCTTTGGGGTCTTCTGGTTGTGTCATGGGCTTTGAATTGCCTTTGGCAAGAAAAAGCAACCAATAAATCATCTTCTTCTTCTTCTTCTTCTTCTTCTTCTTCTTCTTCTTCTTCTTCTTCTTCCCTGGTAAGAGAGACAGAAAGAAAACACACAACTGAGTGATAAGGAGATACTGTATTTTAGGACCTCTTCTTGAAAACACTGGTAGACTGGGAGGATCCAGAAGACCCCAAAGTCGATAAAATTGTGTTTCAGTTGATCTGTGCTTGCAAGTGCAGAATATCTTGTGGGCTTCGTGACCAGCGTAGAAGAGGACAGTATTTCACTTTAGTGGTAAAATTAGCTATTGATCAGGTTCTGTTCAGTTCAGCAGTCTGCACCAGGAGAACCCTATCCCTGCATATTGCCTCCCTATTTCTGTGCCCTGTTTGCTGTGACTGCAGTTGCAAGAGCTAAATTTTGCCTGGCCTACTGCTACTCCCCCCCATCTCTCCCTGCCAGATCAAGAAAGTGATCCATGTCTAGCTGTTGCAAGTTCTGCTTTCTAGTAATGTAGCTGTTTACTACCCTTCCCTTCCCAACAAACACACACACAACTGCTATAGGCTTCAGTCTCCTGGTTGTTATTATTATTATTATTATTTGTTCTTGCCTGTGTAATTCTTTCCCAGTGGGTGACTCATTGATTTTGTTTGTATTGGGCCCAGTTCCAGCTGCTGCAGTTCCTTCTCCAAGACGGGCTGCTCTTTATTGCGAAGTCCACAGCAGGAAGGCAAACTCCTCCTCCGTTCTGCAAATGAACTTCTGTAAAAGTCCCTCTTCCGCTCTAAATTCTAAGCCAGTGCCTTTCCGACGCCCATCTGCACCCCTTGGCTACTGAAGGCTGTGCTGTTTCAACATTTTTAGCTATATTTCATCCAGAGTGCATACTTGACATAACGGGTATACAATGAGGAACCAACGGCAAATACTTGCCTTCATTTTTTCCGCTTGATGCTTCCTAGCTACAAACTCCTTATTTATCTTGGCTCTGCTCGACTAACTTCCTTCTTTATATCCTTGCTAGCCTCTATGCCTTAACCCACACTCGGATTGCCGTCTGCCTCTTCTGATGTTTATCCTCAGGGGCCTGGAAATCTTGGGGGAATTTGTCCCCTCTTCTTTGGTTGGGAATGAATTGGACGCTCTACAGATTTGAACAGGGCCTTTTGCCTCCACAACAGCTGCATAGCAGACAGTAATTTTGTAGGACAGTCTTCCCCCATCATGCAATGACCAGACAAGCTTGAGCTGCTGATTTTTTTAGCTGCCATGCAACTGTTAAAAGCACAACAGCCCTACTCTGGCAGGTGGGCTTTACTGGTCCCCTGGTTTTTCTTCAGCTCAAGCACTTAAGCCAGGCTTGGGGAAAAGGAGACCAGTGGCAAACACTCTTCTTTAGAGATCAGGTGGAGGAAGAATTATCCTACCTGGAGGAAATTCTAGGCACATACAGATTCAGTCATTCACCAAAAAAAAGCAGAGAAACTTCAAGCTCAGGCAACAGCATCTCTTGTCTCCTGGAAGCAGGAAGCACATCTGCAACAGTGGTAGCCAACCTTGTGCCCTCGAGATGCTTTGGGCCACAATGCCCACCAGCCCTGTCTGTTGGCCGGGTGAGCTGGGGCTGATAGCAGCTGCAGTCCAAAAGTTATGGCAGGCGCCAAGTTGGTTTCCCATGTTTCTGCAGTCTTGCATATTTGTGTTCACTTGCGGGAAAAGTGATTTTAACTTCTTGCTTTTCAAAATAATTTGCAATGGAGTCTTTCCTGTCGAGGATGTTGGAGCAGTAGGATAGGGTTATCACTGTGGTAGCACCCTTTCGTTGTGATGGTGGGACCCACAAGATGCCTGCGGCAAAAAGATTTCCATTTGGACTTCCATACAAACTAATAGAGCAACTTACTTTGTCTTTACAGGTCACAGCCAAGACTGCCTTCTTGTTCATCTTACCTCAGTATAACGTCAGTGTGCCTACAGCAGGTAAGGCAGCCTATGCATACCTTGGTAGCACTTTGGTGGTATTAAACCCTGCAAGCTATGAGCCCTGGATTTCCCATTAGCTAGGTTTGTGTCACCACCATGACAGTCCAGCTTCCTTGTGATTATATCGCCTGTGGGCCTTGCTCTCCCTCCATTTATCCCATAAATGGGCAGGGTATAAATAATAAAATTATTATTATTATAACCGCATGGTGAGGGAATCTGTGGCCCTCCACAGGGGGCATGAAAGCACCTCCTACCACCCCTGCTTGGTTGCCTCACCCCAGAAATTTGTTAACAAGCCCTGCATGTTGGGAATGGGTTGTGACATAAAAGGAGACGGAGGAATGCTCATTTTATGTCCCCTTTCCCCATCCAGCCCCAAGTCCGTCCAGCTCTCAGGCCAGATGTTTAACTTTTTCTGGAAAAGCGAGGGACTTATCCCCCCCCCCAACCTTTCCCACCTTATTGTCAACATGTTGTCATAAAGGAAAAGCTTTTAAGTCTGTTTGGCTTCAGTGTGTTCGGTTTATTTGTTTATTAGATGGTTTCCAACCTCCTATGAATATCTGAGCAGTCAGCAGTAACATGGGAGGCAGGAGGTGGGCGGGTGTGGAGGACTCCCTGGTCCTGAATGAGGTAACTGTGCCCCTGAAGGACCAGGTGCGCAGCCTGGGAGTCATTCTGGACTCACAGCTGTCCATGGGGGTGCAGGTCAGTTCTGTGTCCAGGGCAGCTGTCTGCCAGCTCCACCTGGTATGCAGGCTGAGACCCTACCTGCCTGCGGACTGTCTCGCCAGAGTGGTGCATGCTCTAGTTATCTCTCGCTTGGACTACTGCAATGCGCTCTATGTGGGGCTACCTTTGAAGGTACTACAACTAAACCAGAATGCAGCAGCTAGACTGGTGACTGGGAGCGGCCACCAAGACCACATAACACCGGTCTTGAAAGACCTACACTTGCTCCCAGTACATTTCCGAGCACAATTCAAAGTGTTGGTGCTGACCTTTAAAGCCCTAAACGGCCTCGGTCCAGTATATCTGAAGGAGCGTCTCCTCCCCCATCGTTCTGCCTGGACACTGAGGTCCAGTGCCGAGGGCCTTCTGGCGGTTCCCTCACTGCAAGAAGCCAAATTACAGGGAACCAGGCAGAGGGCCTTCTCGGTAGTGGCACCCGCCCTGTGGAACACCCTCCCACCAGATGTCAAAGAGAAAAATAACTACCAAACTTTTAGAAGACATCTGAAGGCAGCCCTGTTTAGGGAAGCTTTTAATGTTTAATAGGTTATTGTATTTTAGTGTTTTGTTGGAAACTCAGCCAGATGAGCGGGGTATAAATATTATTATTATTATTATTATTATTATTATTATCATCATCATCATCATCATCATCATCATCATTATCATTATCTGGTGTCTAAGGCTAGACTACACAGTAGGGGAACATGCCAAGCTCTCTGCAGTTTTCATTTTGGTGAAGCAGCTCTGCATGGGTGAGACTGAAAGCAGAAGAGCTGTTTACGTGGAAGGCTGAACAACCCCTTTCGTTAGCCCATCAATTCTCCACTCCAGGTTGTTCCTCCCTGGCCCCCTTTTATGGCGTTTCAAAATTTGTGTGTATGTTTGTGCCATAGGAAAACCTACTGGGGTGCTGATATGGAGCAGGGAAACAGATGGACTGAAGAAAGGGTTAAGCATTCTTTCCTCTCGGCCACAGTCCCCTCCCCGGAAGCTGCTTTCTAGCGAAAAGCCACCATTAGGCTTCTAACGTGTGTTTGCACAAAACATGCAGTAACTCCTTGAGGCTGAGAATGATGTCTGTGCTTCCAGGACACGTCACGTGAAATGCCGCATTTTTAAACAATGTACAGTTGATGAGAACCATAAGCTAAAACCACAAGACGAAGCAAAATGGCAAGAGCAGCAAAACAGGAATGCAGCAGAAAACCCCAGGGGAAGCTTCTGCTCCCACAAATGTCCACCCGGGGCATTGGCCTTCTCAGGTCCTCCTGGCACCCTTCCCCCTCCTCGCCCGCGCTATGGCAAGACTGCCCAGCTCTTTGCCCCAGGAGGTGAGGGAAAGTGGGTGCAGGCAGACAGAGGGGAGAGGCAAGGGGTCCCACAGCTCTCTGCGCCACTTGAAGACTTAAGGGGTCACACTCACTATCAAAGGGAAGAAAAGAGAGAGAGAGAGAAATATTTCACTAAGAAGACCCTCTTTGAGCTTAGAGCAGCATCGCTTTCAGTTCTGCTGCCCTGCCTCTGTGTTCATAAAGGACTTCCAAACGGAGGTGCTCCCTGAGGCCTTCCTTCCGCAGCTGTGGAAATACCCAGCTTGAGTCACCCACTTCACGATGTGCCTCACTGCTGGGGTCTTTGGCACATGCCCTGAACCACAGCTCTTCAAGAAAAAGAGTGTGGGCTGGCTCTGGATGCTTTAGGTCTGACTCACTTGACAACCTGAGCCTCATATTCAAATGATCCGCGTGCTGATGCAAAGAGCTAGATTAGCAACCCTGGAGACTGAGGCTTTCTGTCTGTCTATGCATTGAGATTGTACAGTCTGCTCTGCTGGGGCAGCGCAGTATAAACTTAGCTGCCCGTGTTACCAATTTAATATCTCCAGGCTGGTGACAGTAATTCTGAGAAGAGATGGGTCTCAATGGAGGCTTCCTTTGAAATGCAAACAACAGACTCAGGAGGTAGTAAAAGTTGAATTTTCTCACCACCACCTTCTCAGACTTCCCCATGGCTACTATTTGCGTAACAAAAAAGTGCACATTAATCTAGGGTCCTCAGTTGCTGGTGCAGGGGCTACCGGGTTCAGGTAATTATCCCTGGTTTGTAATGTTAACACCCTGCAATAAAGAACCAAGGTACTCTGGGGGCTCCAAAGGCACTTCCCACTTTTACCTTAGGATATCTGACTCCAAAATATACATACCTCATGCCTGTTGTGAATGGAGGGGGGCACACCTTTAAATCACTACTCTTCAAGGTGCAAGACACATATGTGGAGGTAACTTGGAAACAAGGGCGATCTTGAGTGGGGTGCTGGAGGGCTTTGTCCTAGACCCACTGCTAGGACATTTTTACAGCTGACATGTTGAGAGGATGTTTGTCACATGTACAAAAAGCTGGAAGGGGTAGCTAACATCATAGAAGATGGAGTCAAGAGTTAAAGCGCTCTTGGCAGACTAAAACATTGGGATGCAGCCAGCCTTAAACGTGAGTCATCAGTGCAACAGGGCAGCTGATATGGCTAATGCATTTCTAGACTCCATCATCCGAAGTGCTGTGTTCAGGTCATGAATAGGCATTGGGTCCTGTCTGTTTCCCTTTGGACATTCCATACCACAAACTGGGAGAATGGGCAGTAAAATGGCAAATGCAGTTCAATGTAAGCAAGTTCAAAGTGAGGCACACTGGGCCAAAAACAAATCTAGTTTCACGTACATGCTCATGGGGTGTGAACATGGGGTGACAACCAGGTACGAGAGTTTAGGGTCATAGCTGCTAGCTTCTCAAAGATGTCGACCCAGAGTGTGGCAGCTGTGAAAAGGGCAAGTTCTGTGCTAGGGATCATTAGGAAAGGGGTTGAAAATAAAATGCCCAATATGATAACAGCTTCATGCAAATCCATGGTGTGAGCTCACTTGGAATGCTGTGTGCAGTTCTAGTTGTCTCTCCTCAAAGAGGATCCTGCAGAACTGGAAGAGGGCAAGAAAAGAGCAGCCAAAATGACGAAGGGAATGGAGGACCTCTGTATGGGGAAAGGTTCGAATGTTGGGGGCTTTTTATTTTATAGAAAAGGCGAGTAAGAAGTGATGTCATTCAATTAAGCCTGTTGTAGAGATAGTGGATGGGTAATTTTTTCCTCCCTCTTTCAATGCTTAAGGAACATTCAATGAAACTGTTGGAAGATTCAGGACACCCCCAGAAAAGCACTTCACACAGCACATAGTTAAACCATGGCATTCCCTCCCACAAGTGTCAGTGGTTGGGTGCCAATCTGGATTTTTTTTAAGAGGATGGGACAGATATATGAAGGACAAAGCTCTCAGTGGCTATGTACCCTGAGAGCTCTGTTTCTGCCTCCGCTGTCAGAGGCACTGGGCCTCTGAATTTCAGGCGCTGGGAATCACAGGAGGGCCAAGTGGGGTTGCGATCAGGTCCTGCTGGCTTCTCATGGGCACCTGGTTGACCTTTGTGAGAACAGAGCGCTGGACTACATGGGCCTTTGTCTGCTCCAGCAGGACTCTTCTTACGTTTGGGCACAAGTGTTTTAAGAAGGGCATCGACAAACTGCAGTGCGCTCAGAGTAGGACAGCAAGATGGTGAAGGGTCTCAACACCAAGTCCTGTGATGAATGGTTGAAAAAGCTGAGTTTAGACTTTCAGGGGAGACACAACAGTCATCTTCAAATGTCCCACGGAAGACATATTCCCTTTGTTCCAGAGAACAGGATTAGAACCTGTGCAGGGAAATAGATTTTGGCTAAATATTAAGAGAGAGAAGATGGGTGCTGCTTGACTCCCTTGGAAGGTGGGGAGCTCTCCTTTGCTGGAGGTATTTAAGCAAAAGCTGGGTGCCCATCTGTTGGTGATGCTGCAATCGCATCCCGCTTTACAGATCTTGCACTCTGTGATCCCAAGGTCCCCCTCCTTCCAGTTCAGTGGTTCTGTGCCCCTGCTTCTATATTAGGATTGCAAGTTGTTTAGCTTCTTGGTTCTGTTTGCAAAAACCCAGACATCATGCCGAGTTTTTAAAAATCCCCCCGGATGGTAATTTTGCCCTTGGAATCCTGGACATGTCCAGGAAAAGCCAGACATATGGCAACCCTGTTCTATATGTCATGACAAGAAAGTTGTAATGTCAATGTACACCCTCCATTCACAGCTGACATGAGTTGTGTAACAGTTCTGGTGGATCCGTACACAAGGGACAAATGTAAAATGAGAAGCAGCCCTGAGCTGGATTCTGCTGCTAACTGTCTTGGGTCATTCGCAGGTCACTGTGTTTCGCTATGGAACTGTGATCTCGACCCACCGCAGTCATTTACCTGGGGATGAAAAATAGGTGAGTTGAGGACCCTGGGTCTTCCCAGAGTCCTCTGAACTACTTCACCTTCTGATTGGCACCCCCCTGCCTTCAAAGAACATGGCAATAAATCCGATGATGAAGGGAGTTCATGGGACACTTATCTCAGAATAGCACCCTTGCTGCCGAGGGGTGGGAAGGAGATGTAAATGTGTGTGTGTGTTGAGCTGTCCACATCTGTTCTGCATTCTGGTTAAGTTCAGTTCTTCTAAACTCATGGTGGTCTGTTTCTGCTTCTTGCCAACATTTGAGCTAATTCTTTGTTACTTAAATCCTGCCTCTTAGCGGGTGCCTTTAAAAGTTTGATCCCTATATGGCTTCCCAGCTTAACTCTTTAATGTTAATCTCTTCCTCCCTTACCCCACTCCTCTTCTTCAGATGGTGAAATTGTTCTTTATCACTACGGGCTGAAGGATTTGGTCACAATCCTCTTCTACATCTTCATAGCAATAATTCTGCATGCTGTGGTGCAGGAGTATGCCTTGGACGTAAGTCTTGCTTTTCATACAAGCTAGCCAGTACCTACACCACTCCCTTGTGCTGTGGGCAGTAGAATATTTCAGATTTACAGTTGCTTTTTACAGTGGCCCCATGGCTCCAGGAAAGTATTTAGTCCCGTTTTCTAGAAGGTGAAATGGACTTGAAGAGTGTTACGGAAAATCTGGGTGCAGGGCTATTCTGCCACCCAGCTCGTCGGACTAAGTAAGTCCGCGGGTCCCTGCGGAAGAAAATGAGCTCAACCGGACAGGAGCAAACTGCAGGAGATCCAAGTTTATTGCGCAACAGGTTCAAGACAAGATTGAACCCCGAGGAAGGGGTGACATGAACTTTTGAAACTCCCTCCATATCCCAGAATACAGTGCAAAATACATCCCAGTTACATCATGAATACATTAAGAGGTTGGGTTACACAGATTAACATATGGAGGAGGGAGGGGGGAATATGCAGAGAGCTGGATGGAGGAGGGAGGGGGGAATATGCAGAGAGCTGGATGGAGGAGGGAGGGGGGAATATGCAGAGAGCTGGATGGAGGAGGGAGGGAGGGAATATGCAGAGAGCTGGAGATATGCGCAGATAAGCACATCCTGAGAAGACAATGGTCCATGTTTGCATAGTCTGTCACCTGGCATCGCCCGGAGGAAGGGCTTGGCAGATGGAAATAAATGGATATATTGTAGCGAAGAAGAAGGTGAAGAAGACATGCCCCCCCCCCCTTCCGTATCAAGAGGAATGTTACGCTTTGTTTCTCATTCAGCTTTTACCAAACTGGGGGACTGAATTGGTGTCCTTGTGACAACTATAACTTCCCTCTCTTAACTTTCAAGTCTTCTTTCTTTCTTTCTTTCTTTCTTTCTTTCTTTCTTTCTTATTTCTTTCCTGGCTGGAACAAGTCAGTTGCCTTCTCAGGACTGCTGCTTGTTCCTCAGGTTGGGTGAGATTTTCTTTTCTTTTCAGTGTTCTCCTTTTGGGGGTCCCTCTAACGTCTTCAGGCTTTTGTGGCGTTGCTCTCTCCTTCTTCCCTCGCTGGGCCTTGTCTCGTTTTGCATTTTAGGGTGGACTGACTGCACCCGCAAATAATGGCTGCTGGTTATTAAGCCAAGTCAAAACATCTGGTGGACCCTTTATTGGTATCCTCTGATCACCTGATTTGAACTTTCCAGGGCTGGCATAGTGACATGCCAAAAAGAAGCTTTGAGCTCTCTTGAGGACGTAGGATGCTTTGTTTTTTCTTCCAGTCTTGCTGAATTTTTGTTTTCTTCTAGAAAATCAACCGGAGGCTCCACCTTTCCAAGATCAAGCACAGCAAGTTCAATGAGTCTGGGCAGCTGGTAGCATTTCATATTGCCTCCATGGCCTGGTGCCTATATGTACTGGCAACGGTAAGCTTCCTTTAGAAAGACGGGATGTGAATTTATACATGGGGGGCTGCAGCTTGCTTTCTCTGCTCTTCCCCTTTGCGCACATGTGATCGCATTACGGGGAGTGGCCAAATAGGGTCACCTTATTCATGGCACCTCTTAATTCAGGATGTGGGTCTGCTGGTAGGACTTAGAGGGAATGGTTCAAACTCTCCCCACATACACTGCTGACTTGCAAAGTGTATTGATGTCCACTTGCTATTCAGGTCACATTCTGAACCTAAAGTGGGAATTGTATGACATATCAAAACAAGTATTTTGGTATAGAAATTCAAAATCTGGCTCTGTGATGGACCTCAGACAGTTTTAAATCTGTATGGGTGCAATTTTTAAAAATTAAAGTTCACACTGGGCCACATCTCAGGTTTTATTGTTAGTATATAAAAAAATAACAGCTTAGGACCAGATTACATGAAGGACCACCTTGCTCACTCAAACATTTTGATCTGCAGAACTTGGACTCCTATGCATGCCATATACTGCTTCATTCTGTATCTGTGGGGAGTCTCTATTTCAGTGTGGCAGCACCTCTGCTTTGAATCTCCCTCTCCCCCCTTAGAACTTACGGTTCGGCAGGTAAACTCGCAGAACTGTTTTAGATGCCTGTTAAAAACTTTCTTCTTTCTACAAGAACTATCCGGAGATATAACTTCATAAGTACTTTTAAATTTGAATTTGTATATCATTGATGATTATTCTGTACATTGATTTTCTAAGCAGTTGATATATTTTTCCTACCAATCCCTTTTGCACCTTGAACACAAGGGAGCGCCAATGTTCTAAAATGAATCTGGGGTTTCTGGTTACTTTCTTCAGTCAGCCCAGATACCGGGGTGGGGTTTTCTGATATGCAGGCTCCACAGATGTTGTTAGCCTACAACTCCCATCATCCCTAGCTAGGAGGACCAGTGGCCAGGGATGATGGGAGTTGTAGGCCAACAACATCTGGGGTCCCAAGGTCGAGAAAGGCTGTCCTAGAGAATGGCTTCCGGGTTGTTTTGCCCCAAGGCAGACGTCTCCTACTGTGGTGTCATTTCTTTCATCAGTGCAGCAGTCGGAGAGGCTGATGCCATGCTGATGCCATCAGGCCTTTGGTCAGGGCGCAGCCTGACCCCCTCCTCTGGCAATCTGCACAGAATTGCTTAATGGTTGCCATCAATTTGATTTTAATTTGATTTTAATTAATTTTATAATGAATGTTTTTAGAATGTTGGATTATTTTGATTGTTGTTAGCCGCCCTGAGCCCAGCTTAGGCTGGGGAGGGCGGGATATAAATAAAATTTATTATTATTATTATTATTACTTCCTTCCATGGCCATTGTTTTTTTTTTAATAAAATTTTTATTTGGTTTTCTGGTTTTATAAAGACAAAACATACACAAAAAAAGAAAAAGACAAAAACATGTATAAAATCAACAAATCCCCGTTTCATAAACTTGTTCCCTGACTTCCCCCCACCTCCCTCGTGCATCCCAGTTTCAAGATTATATCAACAAGTTGGTGTTTCTCCTCTTAACAATATTATTCATCTTATTACCTTATTTTATAATAAAAATTAATTTTCCTAAGTTGGACTTAAGTTCTCTTCCATCGATTTTCATTTTATCTTAATTAAGAGTCATATTAACCAAACCTAAAAGTCTTAAGAGTTTTTAAAAGTCTCTTCTTCCCTCCCTCCCATCCCCGGTTTTTTGTCCCTTCCCAATAAAGATCCAAATTCGAATTTCTCAGCCTGGGTTCCTCACGTCCGAGGCTTTCAAATCCCTTTCAGTCCCTCTCCGCCTGTCCCGTTGGTAGTCCTTTATGTCAGTCATCAAGTCTGGGAAAAGTTCTTTCACCATCAAAGTGTTTCCTCTTCCCACAAGGGGATTCAAAAGTAACTGCTGAAGAATTTCCACAAAACCTATCTCTTCAAGATCAAAGTCCAAACGGAGGCCCCAAGCATTCCTTCCATGGCCATTGTGACAGGCAGTGAGCCTATCTCCAAAGCAAAGGAAGTCCATGTGACCTTGTTCCTTAAGGAAGTCTCCTTGGGTGGTCTGCCTGCAGCACCATCAGACTACTAGCCGCTGCCATTTCCTGTTGCCACGTGTCTCCCCGTGGTTCCATTTCCACACGGGTTGTGGCACGGACCTGAGGGCAAGCACTTGGCTTGCAACACAGAGTACAGCCAGTGCTTTTGGTCTTCTCAGATACATGGCCTGCCACTGCCTCCTGGGGTGAGGTCATAACGAATGCCAGCACGCTTGCTGGAACTCCAGTTGCAGCATAACCATACCAGTTATGGCTTTTACATTGAATGACTTTGGTAGAGGTACTGGGCTGGTCTCATCTCGAAATGTGTGGGAAATTGATCCCAGTGTTGCTGGTTTAAATCTATTTGCAAATGGCACTTTTGAGGGGGGCAGATACTTCCCTGCAGGTGAGCCCTCGGGGGACCTTCAGAAGGAGAGGTGGGGGTGAAGTGGGGACCTGGTCCCATTTCTCAAACCTTCTCTTCAGCCCATCTGCCTCGAGAAAGAAGCAGCGGGATGGCTTTTATCTAAGAGGCTTTGTCAGCCAAGCTTCTCTCCCTCTCCATCACACCCGTTTATGCCCAGATTGCTTAAGCAGGGCCTGTTGTCTCCTGAGTAAACATCTCAAGCTGTTTCTGTGCCAGCGCTGATGATGCCTGGCTGAAGGAGGCTTCTCTGAGCCCTGAAACTCGTGTGTGAGTTTTGCCCAGCAGCCACTTCCGTCCTCTGCAGCTGTTTTACGGTTTCATTCTGCATCTGGCTGAGTGTTGGGATTTGCATTTGTGTGTGTATTGGAGAGGGGCGTGTCTTTCCTGTTTCAGTACCCTGGTCTCAAACCCTTGGTGAGTTAGGGACTTCCCCTGCATGCAAAGTCAAGCTGTGGCAGATTGAGCAGCGGTCAAGAAGGCAGCTTCCACACTTGCTGTTTGCAGAGGGAAATGAGGGGCAGATGGGGTTCATCAACCTTGGAAGATTGCCTATCTAGGAGGAGGAAAAACGCTGAAACCTCCACTGCCTTGCAGAATATCTTCAGGAGAAGAAAAGGCTCAGGAGTAAACCCTATGCTCATCTAGAGTGGAGTCCCTAAGACAGTTGAATGGCGCCCTGTATGCTTCCTTCCAGCAACTCCTGCAGCCAAGCTGGGGCCAAACATATTGCTCTGCTTTCCTTTGGACCACATCACAGGGACCAAGAGGGGAGTCTTGTTATCTGGACAGCCCAAGACCTCCAGACACACTGCCAAGACTTGAGCCCCAGGGGGGTCACTTTGGTGTTGCTAACACAGTGGTTTGACTTCGTCCCCAGACGCCACTCCATTGTGCCTCAAGACAGACAGAGGCCAACAACCAACCCCACTCGTCTGCAACTGCTGTTGCTGAAAAACAAGGGTGCACAACCTGTGGCCCTCCATTTGTTGCTGAACTCTGCATCCCATCAGCCCCTGCCAGCCTGGCCAGGTAGTCTGGGCATTGTAGTCCAACAACATCTGGAGGGCCGCAGGTTCCTCACACTTGTCGTAGAAAGAACTTCTCCATCTTTTGCTTATTGTACAAAGAGAAGGTATCTATATTCTGCAATAGCTTGGAGTTGTCACCTAGACATATCAACTTTAGCAGAGGCGATGGGGACTTGGGCAGCTGTTTTTTAGCCAGACTTTGCTGTTAACTCACCCTTCTTCCCCACTCCCTCTCTTACTTTGTGTGTCTTCCTTCATTTCAGGAAGGATACTTATCAAACCCCAAGAGTCTGTGGGAGAACTACCCTCATGTTCATCTCCCGTAAGTAGCCACAGAGTACAACCACTTCCTTCCTTGTTGGTTTATCTGAGGTCAGGAGTGAGTGATAACAGGAATAAGGGTGAATTGAGTACTTCAGTTGCATCTTCAAACCGGCCAGAAGTGATCTTGCAGCCCCCTCCTGTGTGCAATGCTGATATTGCAAGCTTAATCCTTGTCCTTAAGAACCTGAGGCAGCCTTGCTGGCTCCTACCAAAAACCTCTCTGCTCCAGGACCTTGTTCTCACAGTGGCCAACCAGATGTCCCAGTGGGCAAGCAGGACATGAGCTTGAGAGCCTTCTCCTCTCCTGCGCTGGAATCCCCAGCAATTTGTATTCAGAGACATACGGTCTCTGCTACTGGAGGCAAGACATAGCCATCAGGACCGGTAGCCTTTCCTCCACAAAATGATCTCATCTCCTTCTAGAGCTTTCCAAGTGGCCAACAAGCACTATGACTTGTGGTAGTGAATTCTGTTGTTAGACTTGAAGGCAACCATTTTATTCCAGGGAATGGGGCGACTTCACTTTCCTTGAAGGAGTGTGCTTGTGCCTCCAAACTGTCTATGGGCAGCAACTCTGCTTCATAAATGCTCTTGCTCCCCATGAGGCCAACTCTTTTCCAAGGAAAAGGAAACCGTCTGCCAATAGGTGTTCGGAGGGGCAGTCTACAGCAGGGGAAGAACGGACTGTGCATTGTCCTGGGCGCTTCTTAAAGGATTGTGTCCCAACCGCAGGAAGTTCATTCTCAAGTAATCCAGACAGCATCCTTAGCAAACTTCAGGTCCGTTTTTCTGCTCTTGTGTCTGTTCGCAAATCCTGATCTTGATACTTCTCTTAGGAATGTTGGGGTCAAGCACACCTTTCGACCTTCCAGTTCCAGAGAAGTACTCCTTAGATTCTCTCTGATGTATCAGGCTTTTCCCCCTCCAGTATTAATAATGTCATGTCATCTCAAGAAGGGTGTTTTCTGAAAAGAGCCCTGAAAGGTTCGACCCAGCCAGATAAAAAAGATTGTGTTGATTCTACACCCGTATGGAGTTCCTTTTGCATTCTGAGAAATTGTGTCTGGTTCTTGAACTAAAATCCCATATTACATTTTATTTTCCTTACATTTTATATCTCACCTTTCTCCTGTTGTGGAACCGAAGGTGCCAAGCTGTGGTCACCCCTAGATCAGGTGCTTTCAGACCACACCCTGACCACTGTACGAATGTAAGGGAAATGATGACATTTCCTTTAACGGTGATTTAAGTGCACGCATAATGGCATGATTGATGGGTCTGTTTGAGATACTGGTGTGTGTTAAACGTGCTGAGAATTTTCAAGAGGCCCACATTCCTCCCTCCTCCCCCGCCCAGCGTGAGCTACAATTCTTAGAGTGGTGTAACTATTGATCCCTCTTTGCAGGGAATTCTGGGAGTTGTAGTTCTCAAAAGGGAACAGGAGTTCCCTAACAACACTCGGCTCCATTAACAAACTACATGTCCCTAGATTATTTGGGGAAAGCGATGACTGTTTATAGTGGCATGATACTGCTTTAAGTGTATTGTGCAGATGGGGCCTCACTTCCTTTATCACTCACCATGGGTGACATCCCATCTTACCCTGCACTTAAATGTAATTTGGGCAGGCGATGAAGGAATTGAAACGATAAATTTACAATTTTGCTCTCAACTCTGGTATTCATACTTTTTCAAGGCAATTCCACTAGAGATTTATAAATTGGCTTTTGGCTAGTTTTGCTTGCCTCATTTTAAGTATGCAGTTTTTAAAAAAATAAAATTCCTCCATATCCTGAGAACATTTCAGTGTTACTGTAAAGCAGAGCATCTTAACAGTCATAAAAGTTACCCTAGAGACCCTCATTAGAAACAAGCTGCTCCTGATTCCACAAGGCCTCTCTTCTGCTAGGCTGTGCAGATATTCTGGAACTCTTTTGTCTCATCAGCCTCAGTCCTGAATCCTATCAATAGCCTTGGCTGCCCCTTGGGTCCTAAATAAATATTGTTTGGATACAGTGCGTAGTTTTTCCATAGTCTATGTGTCAGTGATACGTCTGATTCCTGAGTTGTCGTCACTGAGCATGAATTATAACCAAGTCAGGCTTCCGCTCATGTTATCATCCCTCTAGCGGTGCCTCTCAGCAGTTCACGACAGCTGCACAGCCGTGAAAGCACCACTTTGGCAAACTCACATCTCTGCCTGGGACCCAGCACAGAGACAGGATGTGGCCACCTGCTTCCTCGCCTGCCAGAGGCACCAGATTAGCAGAGGTGATTCGTTTCCCTTTCGCCCCCTTCGTCACAACATATCTTGCAGCAGCAATTGCCAAGGGTCAGTGGCCAGCTTTCATCCACTAAGGCAGTCTCAGGAATCCTCTAAAACGTCTGTGCCGCTAAGCTTCCAATGGAGGACCTCACAGTCAGGAGGGAGAATGGCAAAAAATGTTTTGCTTCATGTGGATGCTTAAGAAATGCCCGTCTTCTTTTTAAACATTAGGTTCCAGGTCAAGTTTTTCTACCTTTGCCAGCTGTCCTACTGGCTGCATGCACTGCCTGAACTGTATTTCCAAAAGGTGCGGAAGGTGAGTACCATCATCCTAACTAACTTTCTCTTAGGGTTTTTAGGAGGCCAGTAGAGGTGGGTGGGTGTTGTGCTGATGAGGCCACCAAAGCTACTAGCCTGCATTTTTTAAGCCAGTGGGTGAGCGAGAGAGATCAGTCCCTCCTCTGCCAACCCACTCATGTGTCCGCATGAGATTCCATTCACCCATAGTTACCAGCGGAGCTGTTAAATGCAAAGCGAAATAAATAAGGTTTTTTTAATACCAAAAAAAATAAAAAATTGAATGAATGTTTAAAATACAGTGGTGTCCCGCAAGACGAATGCCTCGCAAGACGAAAAACCCGCTAGACGAAAGGGTTTTCCGTTTTTGAGCTGCTTAGCAAGACGAATTTCCCTATGGGCTGGCTTCGCAAGACGAAAACGTCTTGTTCGCTTCCCCCCCCCCTTTTTCTAAGCCGCTAATCCTTTAATAGCCGCTAAGCCGCTAATAGCCTTTTAGCCGCTAAGCCTTTAATAGCCGCTAATAGCGCTAATCCGCTAAGCCGCTAATGGGGTTGCTTCGCAAGACGAAAAAACCGCTAGACGAAGAGACTCGCGGAACGGATTATTTTCGTCTTGCAAGGCACCACTGTAATATTAAACTGATAAGTTTCCAAGTTGATTCTTTTTCTTAAGGTTAAGGAAAGCCACTGTACATTTTCACAGTTGTAGAAAATACTTTGAAAAACACTTTTCCTGCTCTCCTACTCGGGTTCTAGTGGTGTGTGAAAGACACCCTCCCACTCACATATTTGAATTTCTCCATGGAAGCCTTGTGGAAAGTGCAGCAGTGTGTTGTACTGGCATGCGGATTTCTTTGATGCGAGATGCACCAAGCTCCTGCATTTGACTGCACCTGCTCTGCTTCGCCCGTGTTAGGTGCAGCCCAGTCATTGCCTCTTACGATTCACATTGGATTCTTCTGGTCTCCCCTTTTTTTCAGGAAGAGATTGCTCGTCAGCTGCAATATATCAGCCTCTACCTAGTGCATATAGCTGGAGCATACCTCTTAAAGTAAGTGTTGCGTCTTCAACATGGCAATGTTGCACACCTGCTTTCTCTTCAGGTTAAAAGGAACTCCTAATAAATAGTTCCAGTGTTTTTCTGTCTGCAGCTCCAAAGCTGTAAAGTTTGCTTCAGTTTTAAATTAAACTTCACAGAAAGCAGGCTTGGGTGCATTCTGTGTATGGCATTGGATCAGGGGCCTAGACAACTGCTTTTTCTTCACAATGATTGTAACGGTGTTAAAACACCTTCTTTTTTTAAGCATGTTTGCCCCACAGTCTCTAGGCTTTGAGCAGGAGGTAGAGGAATTTGATTTCCTACACAGCAAAGCTCCTGGCCTCCTCCCAAGACTAGCCCAGTGATTTAAACGTAGCAAATGTCTTCCAGCAGAGATTCATCAAGTATCCTCACTGCTGACTTCCAGGCATCTCCTCTTTACATTCAAAGGCCTATTCGGTTGTTTTCATTTTTTCAGGATGAGTCAGTCATTTTTATGATTACTCTGCATAGTTTTTATGGTATCTTAAGGTTCATTGTACCTGCATATGTCGTTCTGCACCACCTTGGTACTTTATATGTGAGATTTTGCTTGGTTTATAAATTGCACAATTGGTGTTCCTGTCACATAAAATTGGGAGGCCTGGGTGAAAGCCCAACAAAACTCAGCGTTGGTCTTTGAAAGGAGTGGGGTGAGGTGGAATCAAGGTTGATTCGCCTGATAGTTTCCATGATCGCAGCACAGCCTTTTAACTCATAGATCTATAGAGTCGGAAGGGACCCTGAGGGGAATCTTGGGGTAAAATGCTAGGGAGAGGGAGGAGGAGGCTCAAAAGGTGTTCATCCCTTCTGCTGCAATCACCCTTGTCCTTCCCTTTCTCCAGCCTCACACGCCTGGGACTCATCCTGTTGCTGCTGCAGTACGTAGCTGAATTCCTTTTCCATATGGCTCGCCTGTTCTACTTCACAGATGAAAACAACGAGAAGCTGTAAGTGCTCTTCTGTCTGGGTGAAGCATGGCTTTCCTTTCATAGCTGCCCGCAGCCTCTGAGGCTCACTAGCAAATGTCTGGGGAATTCTAAGACTAGATGCCCCTTTCCAGTAGCATCTCCTGTTATACTCTAGATGTGAATTACAGTGGTACCTCGCAAGACAAAATTAATTCGTTCCGCGAGTTTTTTCTTCTTGCGAGTTTTTTTGTCTTGCGAAGCACGGTTTCCCATAGGAATGCATTGAAAATCAATTAATGCGTTCCTAGGGAAACCGCCTTCAGACCAGGTCCGGGGACAGTCTGTCCCCCGACCTCTTCTGAAGGCTGGAAGGGGGGGACAAGGGCTTTTCTTCCCACCACCAGCCTTCAGAAGGCTGTTCTGAAGACTGGCAGTGGGAAGAAAAGCCCTTCTCCCCACCTCCCGCCCCGCAAGCTCCGGGGACAGGAGGGCTTTGCTGCCAACCGCCAGCATTTTAAAAGCCCCCGGGACAGCGGAGACTTCTCCGCTGTCCCGGGGCGATTTTAAAATGCTGGCGGGCGGCAGCGAAGTCTTTGCTCCCGACCGGCAGCATTTTAAAAGAGGTCCCCGGAGATTTCCCTATGGGCTTTCTTCTTGCGAAGCAAGCCCATAGGGAAATTCGTCTGGCGAAGCACCTCGAAAAACGGAAAACTCTTTCTTCTTGCGAGTTTTCCGTCTTGCGAGGCATTCGTCTTGCGAGGTACCACTGTAGAAAGAAAGAAAGAAAGAAAGAAAGAAAGAAAGAAAGAAAGAAAGAAAGACTTCTAACATAATTGCTGAATAACTTCTACTGACGGGACTCACTAGTTGAATCACACCCAATAGGTGGCATTCATCCCTATTCAGAGTAGACCCATTGAAATTAAGAGAGAAGACTACCATAGTTTTGTTACTTTCAATAGGCTACTCATTTTCAATAGACTTAGTTGACTACAGCTCAGTGTAGTGTTTTGTGGGTGCACCACTTAAATAACCTGCACACTGCATTTCTTCTGAATCGCTACTGCTGCCTCTTGACAGTCTTTGACAGCTCCTGTACATTATTAAAAATGCCCACCTTAGAGACATGGCAAGTATCCCTCTTTTGAAATGTCGAATGGTCTCCTGTTTAATTCCACAAGGTTTAATGCTTGGGCAGTGGTGTTCGTCGTTTCCCGGCTCTTCACCCTCACCCTATCCGTGCTGGTCATTGGCTTTGGGCTGGCTCGAGTGGAGAACCAGGCGTTTGACCCCGAGAAAGGAAACTTCAACACTTTACTTTTCAGGTAAGGCTCGGGCGCATATTGTTTCTGGGAGGTGAGCAAAGGTAAGCCCAAGGACAGGGATGCTGGATGAATTCAGGGCTCCATCTATTTAGGCCTGGTGCAGACGTAATGCATGGGAGAAGTACAGTTCCCTCCCAGTCAGTCCAGCTCCCATCTCTTTCCCACGGCATAAAGTACAGAATTTGTGTCCTCCCTTTCCCCTGTGGGTTTTAAACACGGTTAAGTATTAAATTGGCACCAGCGTTGACTGCAGTAGGCACCTGTTAGAGATCCCCCTTAACTAGTACTTGACTGTGCCCTGTAGCCATAAGAGAGGTGCCATAGTTTTGTTTAGAATATACAGTGGTACCTTTGGTTGTGAACGGGATCCGTTCCGGAGGTCCGGCCGTATCCCAAAGTTTTCACTACCGGAAGTGCCGCATCTGCGCATGCGTGCACGGCAAAACACTTCTGGGTTTGCCAGTAATGTAACCCGAAGTTTACATTACCCGGGGGTAACGTAATGCCTGAATGGGGCTCCAGTCTAACTGAAGCTTCTGGTGTTATCAGGGTAAAGGTAAAGGGACCCTTGACCGTTAGGTCCAGTTGTGAACAACTCTGGGGTTGCGGCACTCATCTCGCTCTATAGACCGAGGGAGCCGGTGTTTGTCCACAGACAGCTTCTGCATCATGTAGCCAGCATGACTAAGCCGCTTCTGGTGAACCAGAGCAGCACACAGAAACACTGTTTACCTTTCCGCCGGAGTGGTACCTATTTATCTACTTGCACTTTGACGTCCTTTTGAACTGCTAGGTTGGCAGGAGCTGGGACCGAGCAACGGGAGCTCACCCCGTCACGGGGATTCGAACCACTGACCTTCTGATCGGCAAGCCCTAGGCTCTGTGGTTTAGACCACAGCTCCACCTGCGTCCCATGTTCTTGGGGTAAACAAGCACAAATAGCTTCTCCCTGGAAATGAGTCCTCTGAATGAAGCTGTCCACCGTTATCTTTTTCACACAGCACCGTGTGAGATCTGGCTGTGGGTCAAAGCAAAATGCACATGCCCACCACCAGCCTAAGATGGGCAGTGGCAGAGTTGATAATTCGGGTGTGCCAGCCCTCAGTCTAGGTTTCCCCAGGGCTTTTGATGCGGAAAGGCAGGTGTTTAAATCGGCAGCCTCTTTCACTCCCAGGGGCGCCCCTTTGAAGCCGGCCAGCTCCTTGCTCAGTCACAGCCTGCCTTCCCTTGCTTGCTTCCCCCAGGATGTGCGTCCTGCTTCTGGTGTGCTTCTCACAGGCCTGGATGATGTGGCGCTTCATCCACTTTCAGCTGCGGCGCTGGCGGGAGTACTGGAATGAACAGAGCGCTAGGAAAAAAGCCGCTGCAGCTGCGGCCGCCACCCATGGCAAGCAGCAGCTGAAGACCATCAAAAGGGAATCAGGTGAGCATCTGGCTGGGGCATCAGACCCATGTCTGGTTTGAGCTCTGAGCGCTGTGTGGAGCAGGGGCCCTACTTGGTGTGAGAAGCAGCTTGCGATGTGCCTTAGCTCTAGTGTGTAGCTGACTTTGTGGTCAGATTAATCCGTTTTTTAAAATATATATATTGTTCACCTGGGAGGAAAAGATTAATTATAATAATAATAATAATAAATAATAATTTTTTATTTATACCCCGCCCTCCCCAGCCAAGGCCGGGCTCAGAGCGGCTTACAAGCAATAATAAAAACAAGATGAATGATTACAACTTAAAAACAAAAATAAAATACAACATTAAAATAATGGAACATTAAAATATTAAAATGTAGCCTCATTGCAGGAGAAGGAAAAGAAAAAAGAAAGGGGGGGGAGGGAATCAAATTGGCTCCAAGCCAAAGGCCAGGCGGAACAACTCTGTCTTACAGGCCCTGCGGAAAGAAATCAGATCCTGCAGGGCCCTGGTCTCATGAGACAGAGCGTTCCACCAAGTTGGGGCCAGTGCTGAAAAGGCCCTGGCTCTGGTTGAAGCCAATCTAACTTCCTTAGGGCCTGGGACCACTAGGGTGTTGTTATTTATGGACCTTGAGCATAATTGGGCAGCAGAAAATATATATATTTAAAAATACTCATCAAGAACGAAAAGAAGCAGGAATAATAATAATAATAATAATAATAATAATAATAATAATAATAATAATAATAATAATAATTTATTATTTATACCCCGCCCATCTGGCTGAGTTTCCCCAGCCACTCTGGGCAGCTTCCAATCAAGTGTTAAAAACAATACAGCATTAAATAGTAAAAACTTTCCTAAACAGAGCTGCCTTCAGATGTCCTTTAAAGATAAGATAGCTGCTTATTTCCTTGACATCTGACGGGAGGGCATTCCACAGGGCGGGTGCCACTACCGAGAAGGCCCTCTGCCTGGTTCCCGGTAACCTCACTTCTCACAATGAAGGAACCACCAGAAGGCCCTTGGCGCTGGATCTCAGTGTCCGGGCTGTATGATGGGGGTGGAGACGTTCCTTCAGGTATACAGGACTGAGGCTGTTTAGGGCTTTAAAGGTCAGCACTAACACTTTGAATTGTGCTCGGAAACGTACTGGGAGCCAGTGCACTTGTGGCTTCGGAAAACCTCAGGGGACAATGTGAACTGTCAGAGTTAGCTGAGGGGGTGGCGGGCACTGCCTTCACCCTAAAACTGTAGTACTAAATACATCATTCCAGACTCCATTCTTTGAGTCTTTAAAAGCCTTGTACAAGCACCTATTGAAGACTTTTATTAAAATACCATTTTCTCCTCCCCACACCTCAGGCTACCATGAAAATGGAGTGGTGAAAGCAGAAAATGGTACGTCGCCACGGACCAAGAAAATTAAGTCTCCCTAGAGCCAAAGCACAGTCTTCAAGGACTCTTGGAGGAGGAAATGGAAAATGCGAGACTAAGGACTCTGGGAATAAGAAGCAGCTCCTTCCCTTGTGTCTTCACCAAGCCCTGTTTCAAACGGCTTGAATCAACGTACCACCGAAAAGCTCTTTCCCCCTCTCTCTCTGCCTCCAGACAGTTTGCAGTAACCAAAAAGCCCCTCTCCATCCGCAGCGGGGCTTCAGAACACCAAACCCCTTCCTCAGCCAGTGTATTTTCTTATTGCTCATTTTAATCTGTCCTCCAATGTATTCTTGCTGCTTTTGCTACACCCAGAGATGTTTTTGTAAGCGATTATTCCTTGGAAACCCATTCCCTGACTTAGTATCACCCACCTCACTCTCGCCGGATCTCGTCATGCTTTGGTTTGGAGAGGTGGCATCTGTAGGACATGATTTGCTTCGTTGCCGGGACAATAGAACATTTGGGTAGTATGTGGAGGTTTGACCCCTTCAGACAATGCACTCTTGCACAGCGAGTTTGTGGGAAATGGCTTTGGAGTGGGAAATGGGGCAAACCTCTAAGGTCCCTTCTCTGCCTGCATTTCCTAATTCTGTTACATATCTAGTAATCTTAGCGGAGCGTTTAGAATGTGCCAGGCCTTCACGACATGATGGCGAAGTGCACAAACATAATTTAGTATGTATGTAACTTTTGGGTTAAACCGCGTTTCCGTGTGTGGCTCTGGCTCGCCAGAGCAGCAATGTCACGCTGGCCATGTGACCCGGAAGTGTCTCCGGACAGCGCTGGCCCCCGGCCTCTTGAGTGAGATGGGCGCACAACCCTAGAGTCTGTCAAGACTGGCCCGTACGGGCAGGGGTACCTTTACCTTTACGTTTAACTTTTGGGTTGTGCTCTGCCTATTCGCAGAGACTGAAATTTTAGCCAGTTGCATTCTGGAGAAGGGGACAGATGCGCGCAGTTTCTCTCCAATACTGCTTCCTCTTAGCTGAAAATAGAATTTACTGCATTCTCCTGAAACACCCAACAAATGCTGGCCTGGCAGCTTGGTATGTGTCAGACATGCTTTGCATCTCCCCAGGCCTTGAGAATCATCCTCAGCCGACTGTGCCTTAGTCCAGGGAGAAGATTCACTGCTCACTGAAATAGCAGATCAGGGCAGACGTCTGTGGGTGGTCTGTGACCTCCTTACTTAGCAAGCGGACAGTTTCCTCATGCCTTTGTTTCCTCTGCAGCAAGTTTCCTTCACGAAGTGTTGGTGTAATCTTTATGACTGGGTCTTTCATGTTCAAGTGGTCCACCCATACCAACATAGGACAGCAATATTATTGCCTCTACAGCGTATTCAATGCAAGTTTGCTCAGAAGTAAGCCTCTTGTTCTTCCCTAGCGAGTGTCTTTAGGATGGCAACCGTAGCCTTCTGTTTTTCAGGCGTCCCCACACCCCTACTTTTTCACAGGTTTTGTCCAAGGGGATCTGAACCCATTTCCACTCTGGCTGCTCCTTGCAGCTCCTGAGTGGTGTTCTTCTAAGGCTACATAGGTTTCTTCCACACCCTTAATACGTGGACATGTTATGAATGTGGTGAGAGGAAATCTCTCTCATGGGTGAAACTGCTTTCCATCTACTGTCACCTACTCTCAAAGCTGGTGGGGGGGCACTCAGTGTACAGTCTACCTCGGGGGCCACCCTTCTCTAACTGCTACACTTCCTCTTTTTGTTGAACTAACAGTGAGAAGTTAGTTCTGGGAGAGGGAATGGGTCCTTCACCCAAGAAGAACGGACAGCTTCTTTGTACTGCTACCCTTTTTGGTTTTCAGGGAACGGTATCCGCTGTCCTCCTTAGTGCAGTTGCGTCTGCCTCTGTCTGCAAGGTTAGTTTTGAGACTTGCCTTTGCCCCCAGTGCAACTGGATCACCTTGCACGTTTTTTTAAGAACATAAGAGCATCTTATGCCCTATAGCCCTGTGGCCCATTGAGTCCAGCATCCTGTTCTCAGCCAGGGGCCCCTGGGAAGCCTGCAAGCAGGACTGGAGCCCAGCTGCCGTTTCCAGCAAGCGCTACTTAGAAACCTCGTGCCTCAGACACTGGGGGCTTGAAGCGTCCGTTCTCCTGTGCCATAAATGGTGGTGGATGTTCCCCTGTGCCATTCTCCGCTGCATTCTTGATCCCAACAGCATTTCCTCCCGATTTATGCATGCTAAGGAGGCTTCTGCAAAGGGTTGACACAGACTAGGGAATGGCAGCTTGTTCAGCAGCCCTTCACAGCGAGCGAGTGACCGGGTGGTTCTTCACGGTGTTCAAGCCACCAGATGCCTGGTTTATTATTTTAAATATCCCCCCCCCCAAAAAAAAAATGGAATCTTTTATAGTAACAGGTGCAGGTTTGATTTCCAGCTTTCTATTTTTGTGCACACGTTCTTATCCCGTAGTGTCCTTCAGTTGAGTCGGCGTAACTTTTAACCCACCAAGCTGTGTTTGTATCTCATGTTCCAGGACAGTAAAACAGAGGGGCAGCCAAGGCAGGGGCTTGGTTGAGCTTGGTTGGCCACCGGTCGCACAGCTTTTGGGAACGTTACCAAGTATGAGGAGTTGAAACACTCTCGTTTCCTTCTTCTTTTACTTTTGGCGCTACTTGGGAGCGTACCTGGAGACGTCAGTTTCCCTTTCCTCCAAAACCTGGAATGTCCAGACTAGGGACATTCTGAGCCGAAGCCAAACTTACCAGCGTGTGCCTGTCGCTCCTTGTTGAGTCCCAAATATACCTCATCTGTATATTTTTTTGAATAGGAGTGAAGGGCGATGCTGGGTGGACGATGGTGCTATAAGCAGGTCAGGTGAAGTGGGCTGAGCCAACAGGACGCAGCTGTGAAGGCAGCTCTCTGTTGGTTGAGCCCAATGGGAGCCAGGCCTGCCTTCCTTCTGCCCACGACCTTCCTTAGCACGGTTGGACACTGTTCCAAAGAGAGACACCACTGTTTTAAGTTGGGACCTCTCCTTACTTTGTTGTTCTAGATCCCAAGCTGCTGCAAGCACACCAAACAGAGCTGCCTTGACTTTGTAGCAACCGGCGCCATATGTCTTCCAAGGCAGCTCAGAGGATCACTTTTAAAAGGTGCACAAAGCAGCCTGCACAACCTTGCTTCCTCCTGCACAAAGTTGTCAAGCCACCGTGTAGCATATTGCAGAACAATACAAGTGCCTTACATTGCCGTGTAGCCTTTTGTACCTTTCTTCTGTATGTCTCTCCATGTAGTGTCCCGTCCCCCCCGACATTTGTACACCAGTTTAGCTAGTCATAAAAGGGACAGCTTTTGCTGAACACATTGCCTCAATTTTCTATGCCTTTTTTTATACTATAGGTAGGTGTTCCTTAGTAAGGACCTTAATGGAAAGTGTCTCTGCTGTATTACAGCACAAGCCTCAGTACGCAAACATGTACTCTTAGTTCCACAGCAGACCATATTCAGTTACCTGCTTTCAATTCTAGACAACTAGCTTTCATTCTGAAACTTTATGCAGAAGCTGCAAGGAGTCTTGTTCGTTTTGTTCTTGCGGTCCTTTTGTGGCAACTGAGAACAGAACTAGGTGTTATGTATAGTTATGTTCTTTTGTGTGTGTTTAATGCAGTCGCTCACTGAGGCTGCAGTTTAAAGCAGAAGCTGTGTGTGTAGGTTTCCGTAGCTCTGCCTTTCTGCTGAAAACCACCCTGAAAAAGGGAAAGAAAAGGGTGCTGCTCAAAGTGGGGGCCAAGTCCCAACTCTGTCTCCCCTGGGTTGGTGGTCTGCTTCAGATTGCCATCTCAGCAGCTGCAGTGCATGTCTTTTTCAGAGCCCCCCACCCACCGAAGCATAATTAAACAACACCCCAAGTGCATTTTGACCTTGAGGGGTGCCTTCAGCTAGGAAAAGGCTATCCCACATAGCACTGAGCTCTCAGCTACTTGGTTGAGTGTTAACACCCCTCCTTGTCCCATGGTTTTCCTCCCAGGCTGGACAATAAAAAGCTCACCTAGAACTGTGGTCCCTTGTGAGTGCTCTGACTCTGGGAGGAGGAAATAGGGCAATCGTTTATCTAATGTGATGGTTTTTATTATTATTACCTTTTGCCCAGGCGGGGAGTTATCCTTTGTTACCTGTTCTGGGTTGAGAGAGGTAACCTCACAGTCCTTTTCCTGCCCCTCATGTCCTAGGTAGATCAGAAGTTGTGTAGCAATATATTGCAGGTCTAACCACAAACGTTTCAAAGCTCAGTATATTTTTACAGCAGGGCATTAAAATTTGTATTCTTTAAAATAGCTTAGGTTTTGCTTGTTTTTAAAGTGCCTATCTGGTAAAGCGGTTAGGAAAACAGAATTCCTTTCAACTCTTCTGCCCACACAATCCTTATGTGTTCTGTGGGCGGTTTTCGAACAAAAGGTAAATGTTATGTAAAACACATCATAGAGGTGGCAGGTGGTCAGTCTCTACTACTACAGGTAAAAATCAGTTACCTCTATTCTGATTTTGTGTCTTCCAGAAGTGTAGCCTTTATTATCCGAGTGCACAACTGCGTTAGAATTGTTGCAAAGTATACAACAGAATATGGTGTTGAATGTGTACCCATTGTGGCGGGGGGTGTGTTAATATTATGGACCAAATTTAAGTCAGGAAGCTGAAATAAAATGCCTGTTCTTCCATATTTTACATTTCACCTTGGCGGCTCTGGAGGGGTGGGAAGGAGAGGACAACTTTTTTCAGGAATTCCTTGTCAATTATTTTCCCCCTTATACCATTGAAAACCTTAAAGTATGTATTAATTTTTGTTGTTGGAACAACTTTTATCAAAGCTATCTGTGACACAATATTTTCTGAAATAAAAAGGCATAGAAAGATCTCTAGAACTCATGCGCGTGCATTCACCACTAACATGCGTTGGCTTGGCATCAGTCACCTCAGCAAAAAGGTCTCCTTTCTTGTGAGGCCAGGCATGGAAAGCTCAGTCTCCAGTTTGTCTGACTAAGCTGGAGGTGCAGGCTGGACATTTTGGGGAGGTTGGCTGTAGAAATGTCCTGGTTTAAGTCCTTGCTACCTCTCAGATGGACGCGGGTGGCGCTGTGGGTTAAAGCACAGAGCCTAGGACTTGCCGATCAGAAGGTCGGCGGTTCGAATCCCCGCAACGGGGTGAGCTCCCATTGCTCGGTCCCTGCTCCTGCCAACCTAGCAGTTCGAAAGTATGCCAAAGTGCAAGTAGATAAATAGGTACCGCTCCGGTGGGAAGGTAAACGGCGTTTCCGTGTGCTGCTCTGGTTCGCCAGAAGTGGCTTAGTCATGCTGGCCACATGACCCGGAAGCTGTACGCCGGCTCCCTCAGCCAATAAAGCGAGATGAGCGCCGCAACCCGAGTTGTTCATGACTGGAACTAACAGTCAGGGGTCCCTTTACCTCACCTCTCAGACTCTTGCTTGAAATCCATGGGCTGAATCCAGCAGGATCTTTTAGCAGGAAAGTCCTCTGAGACAGAGCTGCTACCAAAGTAAGACTCTGCTACTTGAGACGAACAGTCACACTGTGTATAAGGCAACTCTTCAGATGGCCCACAGTTACACCCCAGCCTACAAAGGATGTTTATCTGTGGAGCTTTGAAACCTGACTGGGTCTTGTAGATAAACCACCTGATAGGGCTAGGCTAACAATAAAATGGGGATAAGGAAAAGAGCCATTTATGCCATCTTGTGCCCCTTGGAGAAAGGGGAGGATATTAAATTGGTACTGCCCTTCACACAAAGGTCCTGGGAGCACTCAGATGCAGTGCTTTTTTTCTAAAAAAAAATGCTTAGGGGTCCTCTCATTTTCCTAATCATATTGAAATGCTGCCCCTCAATGAGACCAAACTTAAGATTCACAAAATGTTTAGGGGTCTGCGTCCCCCTAGAAAAAAAGCACTGCTCAGATGTATTGTGGTTCATAGTGTCGGAACTTGCGTTCAGCCGAGCTGCTCCTCTGGTCAAGTCCTCCAACGGTGATTAACGACCTGAGCCTTTGATGATGCTCCAGGCACGTTCCCTCATTACGCAGAGTGTCCAAGCAGCAGCGAAGGACGAGAAATATGAGCTACATTGCTAAGAGTTTTATTTCTAACTATGCAGACAGAAAAGAAATATACATCCTCTCTCTGTGAAAGCAGAGAGGCAACTGGAACAAAGGAACAGGAAACCAGTAATAACAACATCCGTCTCCCGTGAGACTTCCAACAATCTGGAATCTCTGGAATGTAAACAGAGTCTTGTGACTCCAAGCACTGCACAGTGGCACAAACAGAAACCTAACACATAGCAGGGCCAGAACCACCCGTGTGACCCCAGACAGCGGGGCGGGGGGCTGATCCACCCTCTGCACACCCCAGTGGGCGACCAGTGGAGGAAGAGACTGCAAGGTGGTAGATTACCTGTTTTTCCACTAGCAGCAAAATGTCCCAGGCAACCCTGACCAGACCGCAGCTACAAATTACTTCACGTTTGAATAGTCTCCCCTTTGCACCCCCCTTGCCAATCAAACAACACATGTGGGTCAGTACAGGGGGATGTTGCTGAACATCGGACATGGGGTCACTTCTGGAGTAGAAAATCTAATTAGTTGTGGTAAGTGGCATAGTAAAGTAAAAGGACGCGGGTGGCGCTGTGGGTTAAACCACAGAGCCTAGGACTTGCCGATCAGAAGGTCAGCGGTTTGAATCCCCGCGATGGGGTGAGCTCCCGTTGCTCGGTCCCTGCTCCTGCCAACCTAGCAGTTCTAAAGCACGTCAAAGTGCAAGTAGATAAATAGGTACCATTCCAGTGGGAAGGTAAATGGCGTTGCTGTGCGCTGCTCTGGTTCGCCAGAAGTGGCTTTTTTCATGCTGGCCACATGACCCGGAAGCTGTACACCGGCTCCGTCGGTCAATAAAGCGAGATGAGCGCTGCAACCCAGAGTCGGCCACGACTGGACCTAATGGTCAGGGGTCCCTTTACCTTTTAAAGTAAAAGGGTTTATGACTTTCCACATCTAGGTCCAAAGGCCTCTCCCTACCCCTACCCCCAATATCTATCTATCTATCTATCTATCTATCTATCTATCTATCTATCATCTATCTATCTATCTAGTGTGATTGTAATTTTGGGAGCTCTTTCTCAGAAGGTTTAAGGTATTCAACTGGAATGAGCGTGCAGTGATGTTCGTTTCTGCCAAGTTTGCAGGATGGAAGGGAAAAGAGACCAGAACAAGTGCACAAGAATTAGCTCAGTTTAATCCGTGTTGATCTATATGCAAAAGTCCCTTTTGCTGCTGCTTATACCTTTTGGTGTTCATCCCTCGAAAACTCTGAGAAAGTTGGGGTATCTGATCTGGTTTTCACCATGGGAACAAAGGGCGATCAGCTGGAAGAGAAAAGGAAGGAAAGTCAAGTAGCTGAAAAATCTGGTAATATTACCGTTTCACTAGCAGGGGGCAGTTTGTAATATATCTGATACTCAAGAACAAATGCGGCTCCACAGTGTTGAGAAATAGCTTGTTGCCAACAGGAACCCTGAAAAGAGTGGGTCAGGCTAGTAGTGCAATTGCTTTGTATCCCCCCCCCCACAAACACACAATCACCACAAGTGAGGTCTGAAAAAACGGCACCTCCAAAAACCACTTAAATCCAAAGAGCTCACAACAATGTGGATACTGTAAAAAAAGTGAGTAAGCCACAGAGAGCAATTCAAGAGAAAAGGGCTGGTGTGGAAGGAACCCATATTCAAAAAACCCAAGGGTCGCTACTTCTAATTTTCTAGGAGAAATTAGGCAAATGGCCCTCTCCTAAATTTATGTCGATTCTAATTACTGCAACTTGAATTGTCAACAGATCTAAAGCTAAGGACACTTCCAACATGGCAGCAAAGAGGAAGCTTTGTTCACTCATTATCTACTATTTATTTATTTTAAAAATAAAAGTACAGTGGTACCTCGGGTTAAGAACTTAAATTCGTTCTGGAGCTCTGTTCTTATCCTGAAACCGTTATTAACCTGAGGTACCACTTTAGCTCAAGGAGAAGGGGGCGACAGAGGACGAGATGGTTGGATAGTGTTTTCGAGGTTACCAGCATGAGTCTGACCAAACTGCGGGAGGTAGTGGAGGACAGAGGTGCCTGGCGTGCTCTGGTCCATGGGGTCACGAAGAGTCAGACACGACTAAACGACTAAACAACAACAACAACACTTTAGCTAATGGGGCCTTCCGTTGCTGCCACACGATTTCTGTTCTCATCCTGAAGCAAAGTTCTTAACCCAAGGTACTATTTCTGGGTTAGTCTGTAACCTGAAGCGTCTGTAACCCGAGGTACCACTGTAACCCAAAGGTCATGAATTCTTTACTGTCACTGTTGATTTTGACTTGTTCCCAGACTCTTCACTGTTCACCAACAGTGAAGAGGAAACTCGCACTGTACCAGAAGTACATTACAAATTCTTTTCAAGAAAGCAGTGCCACTATTTGCTCTTGTTTTATGATTCCAACGTGGCCCCTGCTGCTGACCACGTTGCCTGCCCTTGTCCTAATGTTGGTATATGATATGATGAAAACGGACTTGGACGTGAGTGCCACTGAATTCATGAGGATACGTGGGCACCAGACAAGCGGTCAGGTTAGTGCAAATCGCTGCTGTGGCTTTCTTGGCAAAATTCAGATGCTGTGACTATTCCTACTCCTCACCTTCTGGAAAAGGGGGTCATCGACAGGCACTTTGAAGTGGTCACAGAGGGCACAGAACTCTTCTCTGCTGATGAGCCCTGAGCCATCTTTGTCTTGCTGGAGGAACGCTGCCTGCATGCTGCTGTCTGGCAAGTAGTTATGTCTCCTCATGTGCTCCTGTATCTGCTCAGTCAGGGCATCCAGCTCCTGTTTGTCAGGCTCATCTGAAGCTAACCTACAAGGGGGGGGGAGGAACGTCTTTCACGAGTCGGCAAGTACGCCTCCTCCATTGTGCACGAGCCCATCTGACTTGGCTACCATGATCTCGAAAGGCTTACGTACAGATCATTAGGGCCGTCACCTTAAAGATGAACAGACTTGGTTGTTCCTTATTCACCAGCCTGTTAGCGAAACTGATTTAAAATTAGATAAATTTGTATAGTGGCGAAACCTCAACAAAGACATTCAAATTACTATTTAATAAATGAAATCTGCCAGAAAGTCCCCTCTTAAAAGGTTTGTTGTTGTTCTAACAGAATCGCAGCACCTTATTCCTAACTCACAGCCCCACTGATTAATCTACTAAATTTTTAGTGAATCCACCTACAAAATGATCAAGACTTGTGAATCGTAACCACCGCTGTGGCAAAATTTAACATAATTCCGAGTAAGGTAGGAATCTCGGGTTCTATTTTGCAGCTAGACAAAGCTTTCTGTTTTTCCCATGTTTTTTCTGGTTAAACTGCACAATTCCTAAAGTGGGAAGTTGCACATTTGACTAACAAAGGTACACTAAGAGTAGCCAACCGTTTCCTATATTGGTTCATTGAAACAACTAGGACCAAATATTCTCATTTTCCTCCTAGATATTGTTTCTTTCCTCTACAACTTCCGATAGGTGTCACAATTTGAGACAGCAGGTGGAGAATTGCTCCCCAGCAACAAATAGCACATAGCTGCCAACATTTCCCTTTTTTAAGGGAAATTCCCTTATTCCGAATAGGATTCCTCGCAAGAAAAAGGAAAAGTTGACAGCTATGCAAATAGCACCCTGCATGTAAAAAAAGAAAACCCCTCACCATTAGGGTAGAAAGGTTTAGCATGCACCCTTTAAGAGTCTTCAAAATAAGACACACACACCCTGGAAATGTTTGAATGGACATGATTAGAATTGATGGAAAACTAACGTAAGCGTATGAAGTGGAATGGACTCTCACAGGGGTTGGACTGTTCTGTGATTCATTTTAAATGCGCTAATGAATCAGGCAAAATGCCCACCTAGAGTAGCACCCCAATTCCCACAGCAGCCAGTTGGATGCCTACAAGACGGGCCATGAATGAAAAAGCTCTCTCTCACTCTTACTCCCCAACAGCTAGTAAAGGAAGAGTAGCAGAGGCTCCCTGAGGATTTTCATGGTACTTCCATAGTGTCCAAGGGACTGCTACAATGATTCCCTCCCTGTGGTGATAATGTAAGACGGGGACCTTAGTCTGCACAATGCATATAATGGCCCTAGGATGGGCATGGATAGCGTCACGCTAAGAAACATGGAATAAAGCTTCCCAAGAAGAGTCTAATGATTTCTGGAGAAATGTTTGCATGGGTTTCTTTAAAAGCCCACCTCTTTACTGCCTCAGCTGCTGCCTGGCGAGGTGCGAAGTGATCCCTCATGGACTGCACAACTGCTGGTGGGAAACTCTCCAAATTGCCTTCCATATACTTCAGGACAAATGAATCAGCATCTATGATGATGAACCTGTGGCTGAACACTGGAATGAAAGAAAAGGAAACCAGTGTTCACCATTAAGCACAGACGATCGAGCACTTTCTTTGAAGTGTCCAGTCCAGGGTGCCAAAGTTTTCATCTGATCCTGCAGCTGGGCCGTCTCCTTCGCTCTGCAAAGCGGCCAGAGCAAAACTCAGAACAGAACCTTCCATGCCTACAATCACCAGAGAGCAGAGAATGGTGCCCGGTTCTACAGCTCTCTGGTGAGTCCTCTACTGAGTTAAAACAAAGGATGGACTGGCAGCATTTTCTGCTTCCATCTCAATTCCTTATTACTTTGTTCTCTCTACAATGTAGAGAGTACCGTATTTTTCGCCCCATAGGACGCACCGGCCTATAGGACGCACCTAGTTTTTTGGGGGAAAATAAAGGGGAAAAAATTTTATTTCCCCCCCAGGTGCGCTGTGCTAAACCCGAAGCTTGGGGCGTGCGGAGCTCAGCGCCCCCAAGCTTCTGGGTGCCGGCAAGGCCTCCACTAGCCGTGGGAGAGCCGCACGTCTCTCCCAGGGCTAGCGGAGCACTGCGCTAAACCCGAAGCTTGGGGCGTGCGGAGCTCTGCGTGCCCCAAGCTTCTGGGAGCTGGCAAGGTCTCCGCTAGCCCTGGGAGAGCTGGGTCTCCCACGGCTAGCGGATAGCTTCCTGAAGCCTGGAGAGCGAGAGGGGTCGGTGCGCACCGACCCCCCTCGCTCTCCAGGCTTCAGCGAAAGCCTGCATTCGCCCCATAAGACGCACACACATTTCCCCTTCATTTTTGGAGGGGGAAAAGTGCGTCTTATAGGGCGAAAAATACGGTAATGCAAAAGGGATCTGGAGGTCAGAGACCTTAAAGAACTCTGATTCCTCAGCAAAGAGTTCAGCAGTGCTTTAGCCAGCTTGTCAGTTCTGAGCTAGTTGGGTTTAAACATTGTGCCTGACAAATGCAAGGGAAATTGGACAAAACGTTTCTAAATGGTCTATTATGACTTCAAGATTTATTATTCAACTGCATGCCAAGATATTGACCAGCACAATAGCAAAGGCAGACTACACTCTGGATAGCTAACAGAGAAAAAACCAGCAACATTACTGTTTTCTACATAAGGTAAAGGTCCATTAGGTCCAGTTGTGGCCGACTCTGGGGTTGTGGCACTCATCTCGCTTTATTGGCCGAGGGAGCCGGCGTACAGCTTCCGGGCCATGTGGCCAGCATGACTAAGCCGCTTCTGGCGAAGCAGAGCAGTGTACAGAAATGCCGTTTACCTTCCTGCTGGAGCGGTACCTATTTCTCTACTTGCACTTTGACGTAAGAGCGTCCAATTTACTTACCTGCTGTCTTCTACTCACCTTCCACCATGGCTCCAATGGTGAAGTCAGCTGGCTCATAGTAAACAGGAATGTCTGTAGTGGACCCTGGCTTGCACACCCTGGTCTTGGCTAGGAATTTGCCTCCAATTCTTCCTGAATTGCGCATAGGTCGTTCATAGATGCTCATCATGTCAGTGGCGAGGCAATAGGAGAGCACAAAATGACGCTTACTGTCTTCAGGATTGGGCGATTCCTGCAGAGATTACATACAGAGGTCACTGCACTGGGAGCAGCAACAGGCAGTGCGGCTGGGATGGCACCTTGCACCTGACCGCCCCCCAACTGTGCTGCCACCCCCACCACATCCCGTCTGTCTCTCCATCCTGGTATATAGCACAGCGCCACCACCCTATTCGCTTCTGTCAGACAGAAAACAACTGAGCTGGCTAGAAATCTGCTTCCAAAAAGCTAAGAACTCAGAAAGGATCTTAAGAAGGCTCTGAAGCACTGGTTCCCAACCTTTTTTTTTTGCCATGCCCCACCTAAAGGTAAAGGTAAAGGTACCCCTGCCCGTACGGGCCAGTCTTGACAGACTCTAGGGTTGTGCGCTCATCTCACTCTATAGGCCGGGAGCCAGCGCTGTCCACAGACACTTCCAGGTCACGTGGCCAGCATGACGAAGCTGCTCCGGCAAGCCAGCGCAGCACACGGAACGCCGTTTACCTTCCCGCTGGTAAGCGGTCCCTATTTATCTACTTGCACCCGGGGGTGCTTTCGAACTGCTAGGTTGGCAGGCGCTGGGACCGAACGATGGGAGCGCACCCCGCCACGGGGATTCGAACCGCCGACCATGCGATCGGCAAGTCCTAGGCGCTGAGGTTTTACCCACAGCGCCACCTGCATCCCTGCCCCACCTAAGCACCTCTAAAATCCTGATGCCCCCCACCCTGTGACATATAATTCTTATTATTCAAAAAGTGATCTTCTGTTCACGTGGAGAAAGTCTAACAGGCCATTCACTGTTAATAACTCATTCTTGAATTGCCCCCCTTAAAAATCAAATTGTGCCCCTGTGGGAACCATGGCTCTAAAGGATGTGACAGGGCACATTTCTCACAGCCTGTTCCTGTAGAAAACAGGGTCACCATTTGTAAATTCAACCACTGCCATATCTGTTATTTGTTAACGGTTTGTAGTTCTGATGCTTGACTTTGCTGAGAAGGTTGAGGAAAATGGGAGACATTACTAAGGCAATACAGCAGGAATATGTGCCACCTTTTATCACAGCCTCTGCTACTCTTTTCCTTCCTTCAGTGCCTCCTCACTGTTATGCTGCAGATTAAAACTCCTCAGCACAGGGAATTTTGCTTTTTTGCCATTTAAAGCCAAGGCTTTAAATGCCATATACACTGATGAAGAAATAACATCACTAAACCGATACCCTGAGATGTTGAAAGCATCATGAAAGGGGTTAACATTAGGACGGCAAGCCTTAATGAGTAGATTGATCAATGGATGCTGCAATCCAAATGCTGTCTGCATCAAGACTGGGCAGCAGGGTGGATGTCCCTCCATGCAGCCCTGACGGACTCTGCTTGCAGAGTAATGCCAACATCGCTCTGCTGGCATGGACCTCCCTCTCCCACCTGCTGAAGGGATCCCTGTGTGTGGCAGAGCATTCCAGGCTGGGCAGAGGTTGAGCTGGCTTCTGATCTACTGGGTCCTGAGCCCAGGGCACTGCCCTCACTTGTTGGCATCAGGTCCAATCTGGGCGGATCACAGAGCCAGCTCCAGGCTGGCACAGTGACCTGCCTGTTCCCTTCTGCCCCAGCCAGCCAGCGAGCAGCAGCAGGCCAGGTGAAGCAGCGTCCTCGATGCCTCGTTTAGGCTTCGCCCCTGCCTAGATACTCCTACTTTTGGAGTAATCTTCCATGCTACACAAAAATCCAATTATTTGGGGTTTTGAAAGATTGCCATTAGAGATGAAAACACCCAATCTCCAAAACCCATCCCTCCCTCCAGAAAGCACATCAGGACATCTCACCATCCTAACTGCATAGCGCAACACTTTGCGGTCGTTCTCTAGCATCTTGAGAACGTTTTTCTTGGGCGCTTGAGGAATCAGACTGAAGCAGTTTTGGAGAGAGTCTTCAAGGAAACCAAAACCGTTGTATGGAGGGATTTCCTGCAGAGGAAAGAAGCCACAAATAATGAATTATAATGCAACGCTATGCAACTTTGTTCACAAGATCATAGAGTGGACTTCATTCACTTTGCACCTTCTGTTGTATCACCATTATCTTCCATTACAGCAGAGATGAAGGGGGGGGGGACAGTCCTCTGTCAATACCCTCTGACGCGTCCCAGCTAACTTCATCCCCAAGTTTCTGCTGGTGTCAGATCTCTGGTGTTATGTCAGTTGCCAGACCATCCTTTGTAGAACTGATCGCTCCCTGTCTGTCTTGGAGAGCTGAGTTTTATTGAGGGGAGCTAACGACAGCAGATGATATCCCAACAGCTGTCAGTCAGTATCCCATTTTTGGAATGAGATACTTATTAGAGGTGGCTGCCCTCCAACTTAACGTGAAAATGCAGTTTGTCCAATTGAATTTTGGAGGGGGGGAGTGAGGATGTCTCTCTGGCGTGCAGCCTTAGCAGAGCCCCTGTGAGGCTCCATCTTGAACCTACATTGATGGGGAAAAGATGCATAATCATTTGGCTGCAGAGCTAATGCTAAGCTAACCACTAAAAAAAGGACCAGAATGCTCTAGGAATGGTTGCTGTGGCTTGCCAAGACTCCATAAGCATAGAGGTGTTTGCATGTAATAATAATAATAATAATAATAATAATAATAATAATAATAATAATAATAATAATAATAATAATTTATTATTTATAACCCGCCCATCTGGCTGAGTCTCCCCAGCCACTCTGGGCGGCTCCCAATCGCATGTTAAAAACAATACAGCATTAAATATTAAAAAACTTCCCTAAACAGGGTTGCCTTCAGATGTCTTTTAAAAATAGGATAACTACTTATTTCCTTGACATCTGAAGGGAGGGTGTTTCACAAGGTGGGTGCCACTACCGAGAAGGCCCTCTGCCTGGTTCCCTGTAACCTCACTTCTCGCAATGAGGGAACCGCCAGAAGGCCCTCAGCGCTGGATCTCAGTGTCTGGGCAGAACGATGGGGATGGAGACACTCCTTCAGGTATACTGGACCAAGGCCGTTTAGGGCTTTAAAGCACCAACACTTTGAATTGTGCTCAGAAACGTACTGGGAGCCAATGCAGATCTCTCAGGACTGGTGTTATGTGGTCCCAGCGGCCACTCCCAGTCCCCAGTCTAGATGACGCATTCTGGATTAATTGCAGTTTCCAAGTCACCTTCAAAGGTGGCCCCTTACTCAGTTGAGTTTCCTTGCAAGCAAGCAGGGCAGGGACTGGAGCCTTAGCCTTGAGTCAAACACCGATCGCTCTTCCATCTGCCTCCCTCCTCCTCCCTGCCATTACCTGCTTAATTTCCTCCGGAGGTGGCTTCCTTACATCGACTGGATGGAAGTCAGTGATGCCAAACTTATCCTGGTAAAACTGCCGCGTGAACTCATCACAATCATAGATGAAAAAAGAGCGCCCAAGGAGGGTAGTGGATTTGCCTACGGCAAAATCTTTAGCCGTGAACCATTCCAGGACCTCCTGATCAGAGATCTCCAGCACACAAGTTGGGAAGGGTCCTAGCGGAAGAAAGAGGGTTAGATGTGTCCTGCCTCCGATTACTCCTAAGGAAGGAGAGTATTCAGCTGTCGAAAGAAGGACAAACTACCGTATTTTTCGCTCTATAAGACGCACTTTCCCCCTCCTTAAAAGTAAGGGGAAATGTGTGTGCATCTTATGGAGCGAATGCAGGCTGCGCAGCTATCCCAGAAGCCAGAACAGCAAGAGAGATCGCTGCTTTCGCTGTGCGATTCAGAATATTTTTTTCTTGTTTTCCTCCTCCAAAAATAGGTGCGTCTTATGGTCTGGTGTGTCTTATAGAGCGAAAAATACGGTATCTCCGGGGACAAACAGTCGCAATGGTGATAACACTCCAGCCCTGGTGCCTCAGCAATTTAAATGGGACAAGCAATTTTAAACAGATCAAAACCAATCATGCTTAAACTCTGGAAGTAATTTCCAAAGGATCTCAGAATGTATCATCAGGCAATATTTAGAAAACTAAAGAAAATCCAGCAAGCATCCTTCAGAAAGACAAGAGTACGTTTAGGACTTTAGACAGCAATGTGATCCGAACAGGGCATTCAACTGGTATGGTGGATAACTGCTTTAACCCCATCGCATGCTAGAAGACCTGTCTAATTCTACCACATCTGTCTGAAAAAGGGCCCTCTCCCAGCCTCACACATACTTCTCATCCTGGCTACTGCCTGCCATAGATCAAGCTCCCACTTTCCCCATATTAATGCCTTCAGGGCTGTTTTCCAGCCGGTGCTAACCAGAGCTCAGTTCCAGCACCATTGCCATTCTAAGAGAACAAAAGAGAAGTTCATGGCGAGTTCTGGCACCTCCTTTTCTAGAAAAATAGCACTGAATGCGTTCCTGGTATTCACACTGCACCCAGATACTCTTGCTTGCACACATACCTTCTGCACACCTATTTTTCCAGTTAGGTATTCCTTTTACACATCAACCCTAAAAGATAAAGCACAGGTGCCCTTTACCTTTCTTCTCTGCAAGCTTTTTGGGCAGGTGCTGGCGTCTTATCAGCACAGGGAAGGGGTCTCTGCCGTCATTCCGCTCATGCACTTCCCGGACCTCCACGGTGTCGTCTGCCAAGTAGTAGTGGATGATGAAACGGCGGTTCTCACCAAACATGCTCTTGGTATCATCCCACATGGCATAGAAGCGAAGGACCTGTAAGACACAGGGTGAGAGAGAACAGACTTTGCCCAGCCTCCACTGAAAAAGGCCCTCAGGGATCAGGGACCCTAAGAAAAAGATGCAGTCAGAGGAGGCAGTCTTAGATGATGAGGATGATGATGATGATGAAGATGATGAAGAAGAATTTATTTGTACCCCAGCTTTTCCCCTGGCGGGGCTCAAAGGCAGCTTACAGATAAAAACCAAGTATTGCTAAAAGCACAGGGAAAACAACAATTAAAACACAATTAAACATTAATAGAATTAAAACTACATGCATATAAGAATCTGTTTAAAACATGCTGAATTGGATTTAGATGGCCTGACTTAGTACAAGGCAGCTGTGTAAATCATATGAGAATGCCAGTAATAAGCCCAAGTTCTAAATAAAGGAAGGGAGAGAGGGAGGAAAGGAGGAAGGGAGAAAGAAAGAAAGAAAGAAAGAAAGAAAGAAAGAAAGAAAGAAAGAAAGAAGCAGAGTCTCTGATTCATACAGGCACATTATTATAATTGTAATTATTATTCAGACTGCCTTTATAGTGTTTAATCTTTTCCTGTTTAAATTGTTTTGTTTACTTACATGTTTTATTGATTGCTATTTTCTTGATTTTATCATAGGAGGCTAGTTTGCTGCTTTGAATTTAGGGTGTATTATTACTATTAATACACGCGGGTGTAATACACGCGGGACGCCGGTGGCGCTGTGGGTTAAAGCCTCAGTGCCTAGGACTTGCTGATCGAAAGGTCGGCGGTTCGAATCCCCGCGGCGGGGTGCGCTCCCGTCGTTCTGTCCCAGCGCCTGCCAACCTAGCAGTTCGAAAGCAGCCCCGGGTGCAAGTAGATAAATAGGGACCGCTTACCAGCGGGAAGGTAAACGGCGTTCCGTGTGCTGCGCTGACTCACCAAATGCAGCTTTGTCACGCTGGCCACGTGACCCGGAAGTGTCTCCGGACAGTGCTGGCTCCCGGCCTCTTGAGTGAGATGAGCGCACAACCCTAGAGTCTGGCAAGACTGGCCCGTACGGGCAGGGGTACCTTTACCTTTTTTTATTACTATTACTATTACTAGTAGTAGTAGTAGTATTAATCATCATCATCATTATATAGAAAGGTGTGTGAGAAAGAATCTGAAATAGAACAAACCAGAGACTCACCTTCTTGTCAAAGGCCAAAAACTGCTTGAGTTGGTCGAAATCTGAGGGTGTGACATATGTACGCAGAGGCATCTTACGCAGCTCTGTGTAAGGGTCAAAAATCATTCTCTCCGGAGGGTTCAGTTCTATTCCCTGGCTCTCCAGAAAAGTCTAGGAAAAGACAGCCATGTCATTAATACCAGGCTAAAGACAGCAAGGAACTGCAGAACAGCAAAGGGGCTTCGATTTACAAAATCTCCATCCAAGGGGCAATTTAATCCAAGACAAGTCATAAGTCACTTAATTTCACCAGCCAGTCAGGTCGGAGTGAAAGAATACAAATTAAGAGCATTTGCAGATGACCTAGTTTTGACTTTACAACAGCCAAACACTAGTACAAAAAGGGTTTTAGAACTGATTCAAACATTTGGTCAGGTTGCAGGATTTAAACTGAACAAACAAAAAACTAAAGTGTTGGAGAAAAATCTAACAAATGAGGAAAAAGAGAGATTTCAGAACGAAACTGGTTTGGGGATAGCAAAGAAAGTGAAGTACCTGGGGGTGAATCTGACATCAAAAAATGTGAATCTATTTAAAGACAATTATGATAAATGTTGGACAGAAGTTAAGAAGGATCTAGACATATGGTCAAAGTTGGAACTCTCCTTGTTAGGCAGAATTGCTGTTATCAAGATGAATGTATTGCCTAGAATGTTGTTTTTGTTTCAGACATTGCAAATAATGGACAAAATGGACTGTTTCAAGAGGTGGCAGAAAGACATATCTAAATTTGTCTGGCAGGGCAAAAAGCCCAGAATAAAATTTAAGACACTAACAGATGCAAAAGATAGAGGGGGTTTTGCCCTGCCGGACTTAAGACTTTACTATGAATCGGCAGCGTTCTGCTGGTTGAAAGATTGGCTGCTTCTTGAGAATACAGACATTTTAGATCTTGAAGGGTTTGACAATAGATTTGGTTGGCATGCATATATATGGTATGACAAGGTAAAATCGCATAAAGGCTTTAAGAACCATATGGTTAGGAAAGCATTGTATAATGTGTGGATACGATACAAAGATTTGCTTGAAGGTAAAACTCCCAGGTGGCTGTCACCAATGGAAGCTAAAGAGGTGAAAAAACTGAACATGGGTTCTAATTGGCCTAAATATTTTGAAATTATAGAACAGGATGGTGAGAAAATAAAATTGCAGAGTTTTGAAAAACTGAAGTCTAAGGTGAGAGATTGGTTACATTGTCGACAGATAAATGAAGTATTTAAGCAGGACAGAAAGAAAGGCTTCCAAGTGGAAAGATCAAAACTAGAAACAGAATTGTTAGAGCCCAATACTAAAAATTTGTCAAGAATGTATAACTTGCTGTTGAAGTGGAATACTCAAGATGAAATGGTGAAATCCAGTATGATTAAATGGGCACAGGATATTGGACATGACATTGAACTTGCTGACTGGGAGCAGTTATGGACCACCGGTGTTAAATTCACGGCATGTAATGCCTTAAGAGAAAACATTATGAAAATGATCTATAGGTGGTACATGACTCCTGCTAAGTTAGCAAAGATCTACCATTTGCCCAATAATAAGTGTTGGAAGTGTAATGAAACGGAGGGAACCTTCTATCACCTTTGGTGGACCTGCCCGAAGATTAAGGCTTTCTGGGAAATGATCTATAATGAAATTAAGAAAGTTCTTAAGAGAACCTTTACTAAGAAACCAGAAGCTTTTCTCTTGGGTATGGTGGGCCAAATGGTGACAAAGAAGGACAAGACATTTTTTATGTACGCCACAACAGCAGCAAGAATTCTTCTAGCAAAGTATTGGAAGACACAAGAACTACCCACGTTGGAAGAATGGCAGACGAAGGTGATCGACTATATGGGACTGGCAGAAATGACTGGCAGAATTTGAGACCGGGGGAAGGAGGCGGTGGAAGAAGATTGGAATAAATTTAAAGTATACCTTAAAAATTGTTGTAATTTGGATGAAGATTAGGAGGTCAGGGAGATAAAAGACAAAGAACTACAGCTGTTTTAAAATAAGTCAAAGTTAAATTTACGAAATGCAGAATATGTCTATGACTAAAGGGTTGCTGGAAAAATCTGAAATAAGGATGCAGAAAAGGGGTGGTATGGGGAGGTCCATTTTATGTTTGTTTATGTTTTTGTTGTGTTTTTTTTATTTATGGAAAATTAATAAAAATATATTTTAAAAAAAATAAAATTCACCAGCCAGAAACATCTTGACTAGACACTGGAAGGACCTATCAGGAGTGAACACAGACAGACCACTGGTATCAAAATGTATGGGAAAGTTGACCAACAAACTTAAACTAGCACAGGGACAAACAAAGGAGGATGACTTCACCCCGGTGTGGTTCCTGTTCATCACACAGCACAACATGACAACAGCATACAAATCAGTGTGGCTTAACAGACCCGACAACCTGTCTCCCCAAACACATACCAACAAACAAACCACATTGCAATCAACAGAACACAATCAACCAAGCTCAGGATCTATCACAATATCGACAAAAAATAAAAATATATATAAACAAGGACCTACTCACGGGATGCTGACCCAACCCCTTACCATAGGCATGGCCAAACTTGGCCCTCCAGCTGTTTTGGGACTACAACTCCCATCATCCCTAGCTAACAGGACCAGTGGTCAGGCATGATGGGAACTGTAGTCCCAAAACAGCTGGAGGGCCAAGTTTGGCCATGCCTGCCCTACCACGAAAGAACAGAACGAAAGAACAATACAACCCCCCACCTCTCTCCCCCCCTAATTTCCCCCCAACTGTAAGATGTCTGTGACAAAAGTGTCTCCCTAAATGTAAATGAACTGTGAAAAAGAATCTATGAATTGAAAGGGGAGACAAAAGATGTACGTTTCCCTCTCTATCTGTTTTGTAACACGTCTATTGCAATACTGCAATTGACTCATTTCCTACTTTCCCCCCAGTCAGTTCTGAAAATTAGCGGCCCAGGTGCCAGTACCTGGGTGAAGGCATCACAATCAACGATCCGGAAGGTCTTGCCATAGATAGTGATGTTGATTCCTCTGTTCAGGTCTTTCCAATGATAATGGTCCCCACGATCGTTCTTGGGCAGACGTTGGCGTTTGATGAACTTGCCCTGGGGAATCCCAGAGTTTTCCACAATGGGCTCCATGACAGACATGCTATCGTCTTCCAGGTAATAATAAATGCCCACTTGGCGGATGCGGAAATGCTCTTCTGTAGATATGGGGACATCTTCCTGAAAGTAACCGTCAAACTTCAGCACCTGCGGGGGAAAGAGCCCCGTGAGACACAAGGCATTTATTTCATGGTAAAATCGCAGGAGACACCCTTGCAGAAGAATGTGTCGTTTTAGGAGGTGAAACTTAATTTTTGCAAATTTCTTTAGTGAAGGTTCTTAAAAATATGTTTTTGAGTCTGCTATTATTTTTGTTCTTGGACAACATTTAGCTTGGTAAGTCTACATTTGATGGAGAAGAACAGAAACTGCTTTGGGGAAACCAAAGAATTTAAATTTTACCTTCTCAGAATACCAGGTAATGCTAAATAAGTAATAATAATAATATTAATATATAATATAACTGCAAATACTTGGCAATCTTTTTTAAGAAAAAAAATACTGAAACTTTTCAACAGACAATACAATAAAAAACAAACTAATCTAGATAGAAATAAAACAACCAAAAAAGAAAAGGAAAAGGGGGAAGGCAAAGCTCTCTGTCAGAGGTAGATCTTAACCCTTGTCTCACACAACAGGAGGTGGAACATCCAAGCTCTTATACATGATATAACTGCAAGTATTTGGCACTTATTTCTATCCAGTTTTGCACACATTTTGCCTTAACTAAATTATTTTACAAAACTAACATATTAATGTAACCAAAATATCTTTTGGATTCCCAAGTCACGGTACAACTATTTTAGCAACCCTGGTTTTTTGGAAGTTGAAAGCTGAAAAAGTCAGTGCGCCCTTCTCTTGCAGGGAGCAGATCCTGTGAGAGCGGGAGCACATGGGGACATGCTAAACCCAGGAGGAATAAAAGGATTTGGTGTCTCTTGAAACAGGAGGAAAGCTCCATCCAACATGAGACCAATGGCAGCAACTAGCTGCCCAATGGTCTCCATTCCCTTTAGTCCTATGAAAATAGGTCAGGTGGGCCTAAGATGTGACCCTGAGGTTAAATGTCTTTTGACCAAGAGGAATTTGGAGAAAATAAAACAAGAACTTTCTTTCCTCAGCACAGGTGATCATGGAGAATGAGCTTGTTTGGGGTGCAATTATAGGGTGTACTGAATTAATTATATTGTTTATATTGATATGAGCTGCCTTAAAGTTTAAAGAGAAAGGCTGTCTATAAGTGTAGAAATGTTTTAATAAATTAACTGCTAGATACCAACAATAAACATCTAATCAGTCTTTAATTGTTGCTGAAAAGGCATGCCTGTACTTTCATATTATTAAAGTGGTTTGTTCAGACAACACCTAATACTATGGACTATCCCAATTTGCATTCTACCTGGATATTGATCAAAAATTAGTACCTCAGAAAACAGGTACTGATTTTCTCATAAAAGCATATAATTTTATCATCTGCATGGTGTGAAGAAAACCACATTTTCTCCCCAGCTGTTTTTTTGCTCTGTGGAGGTTAATTCCAGACTTAAGCTAACTACACACCATAGATTTAAAGCACTTGATTTCTCCACATAAGCCTGGGAACTGCGGTGTACCCCTCGCAGAGCTGAAATTCCCAGCACCCATAAAAAAATACAATTTCTGGGATACTTTTGGGGGGCATCACATGCTTTAAATGCATGGAGTCCTCTTGAGAGAGAGAAAACAGCTGGGAAGAGGCAATTGGGGAAGGAAACATGGGCAGAAAGAACTTGCCCTTAGTAAACTTTAAATTGTCCTCCTCCGCTGGACTGGGATTCAGCTGTGACTCAGCTCTGACACAAAACACCTGCACACCTAGATTAGTCCACACAGCACAGTTCTGAAAACAGAAACATGAATATGCTAATCAGTTCTCTTGCCATCATTAATCTCTTCCAACTATTCGGACTTCTAGCTTCTAGGAGAACTCTTAGGACACTGAAACAGCATGGTTTCTAAGCAAAGAGTTTCTTTTTCAAGCCAGGCTTTAGTTGTCTTTTGCCAAAGACTTATTTGAAAATAATGTCTTTTAAAATCAATCGTTCCCTGAGCTTCCCAACAGACACTTTTCCAGGACTGGGCATTTCTGAAATGAGATGTTTTTGAACAATACCTTTTTGTCAAAAGCCACATGGGCTGGGATGAAGTCTGAAGGTGGGGCTTGCTTGGCTTGGCCGTAGGTCAAAGTGGGTCTCTTGTTGGCCAGTTCATCCAGTTCAGCTGGGGACAACTGGTTGACATGCAGCCGTTGGCCACCGATCCCTGTGGTTGGAAGCCGCTTAAACGCAAAGCCATTCTTGTAACCCAAGGTCTGAGAGCGATGAAAGGCAGTTTTCTAAGGGAAGAAAGAAAACCAAGAGTTGGATGCGGGGCAGATCACTGTCATTGGTGAGCAAAGGTGCATAATGTACAGCGGCTGGGGGCGGGAACACCCTGTGTAATGGGATTGGGTCAGAGCACACGCCGTGATCCTTGGCATGAAATTGTGGGAGATGAATGAGTTCTCCAGTTCCCAGCTGTGAAATGTTGGCAGCCAGGCTGCCGGGAAACGGGGGGAAGGATTTTGTGCCTCAAAAATGCCAGGCAGACCTGCTGGATGCCATTAGAAGTGGTTTATTTATAGGAGGTGCCTCTGAACGCTCTAGTAAAGGATGATCGGGATCCATTCCAGGGATACAGAGTTGTCCCCAAGGCATGCCACTCTCCCAAACACAAACACAATCCTCTCCCTCTCAAACTTTAAATCGCTTCAACCTTCTTCTTCCACAATCTAAATGTCGCCCCCTGACCCAATGTGTGGCTTCCTCTACTACTTACATTATTTTTATTTATTAAATTTGTTAGTCACTTTATCTTGCCCAAGGCAACCCAGCGCGGATTGCAAACAAACAACCCTCGCACATAGATACATTCATGACCAGTGGGAGAGAAGGAAATACAATACAAACACCCTTTTGGGTTTTCTGGTCAGGGATCCATGGGGAGGGTGGATGTTTCTGAAGAGGCCTGGATATCTGGCTTTGCATAGTGGAGAGAGGAGATGGTGGAATATGCAGAGGGTTGGATGCCCTGTTCCAGGGATGGTGGAGAACTTGGTTCGAATCCCTGCGACGGGGTGAGCGCCCGTTGCTCGGTCCCTGCTCCTGCCCACCTAGCAGTTCGAAAGCACATCAAAGTGCAAGTAGATAAATAGGTACCACTCCGGTGGGAAGGTAAACAGCATTTCTGTGCGCTGCCCTGGTTCGCCAGGCTTAGTCATGCTGGCCACATGACCCGGAAGCTGTACGCCGGCTTCCTCGGCCAATAAAGCAAGATGAGCGCCGCAACCCCAGAGTCGGCCACGACTGGACCTAATGGTCAGGGGTCTCTTTACCTTTAGGTCCATAAATTACCATAAAGCATAAACAGTCATACCTCGGGGTTGAAGTAGCAGTGGGATGAATATTTTCGGGTTGCGCTCTGCGGTGACCCAAAAGTAACAGCGCGCGTTACTTGCGGGTTTCTCCGCTCGCGCATGCGCAGACACTCAAAATGACGTTGCGCGCATGCGCAGAAGTGGTGAAACACGACCCGCGCATGCGCAGACGCGTCTTACGTTTACTTCAAGATGCGAACGGGGCTCTGGAACGGATCCCGTTCGTATCCAGAGGTACCACTGTATTCAACACAGAAAAACACGGCAATTGGTTGTTGACAAAGGACAGCTGGACACATAAAGAACCCCGTTACCTCCAGTAGCTTAGGGCCCCATCCAACCTCGATCCGGCCCTGGGGCCAGGCATAGAGCCTCCTTCCGCGGGGCGAGCGGGGCGCAGTCAGCGGCGCTTTCTCCGCCCCGCGTCCCGGGGAAGGAGCGCGGCTCCGGGGCCGGCGGGGCGCCTGTGCTCACCGTGGGGTCCCGGAACGACGAGCCCGGCAGGAGGGGCAGCCCTTGCACCGGCTGCGAGCTCATGGCGCCGAGCCTCGGCGGCTCCCTTCCCCGTTCGCAGCCGGGCAACGCGCGCGTTTCCTCGGCGACCGGCGACGCGCCGAGATGGAGCGCCCCTCCTTGCGCGCGCTTTGCGCAGCCCCTCCTCCTCCGCCTGCTTCCCGCTCCCTCCCAGCCAAAAAGTCGGGGGGGGCGCTGCTTCTTGCATTTCCTCGAATTAGAGTCAGCCCCCTCCAGTACGTTGGGGCGGGGGGGACTCGGAAGAGACCTCGACCCCTAGGAGTTGGCACCAATGCTTACAGTGTAATTTTAGCATCGTGGCAGGGGCTTCTATATGAAAAAAAATGTTTAGGATCGGATAGCACAATACGTTTCTTTAAAAATGACTCCGAACTTTTTGTAGATGAAGTTTAAAAGTGGCATGGCGTTGTTAGTGAAACGCCCCCACCCCTGCCTAATTTGCAAGGAAAATAGACTTTCCATGGAAAGTGAAATTGCTTCCAGGACAATTCTCACCATTCTGCCAGAGTTCTTTGCTGCTTAGAATCATAGAAACATAGAGTTGGAAGAGACCACAAGGGCCATCGAGTCCAACCCCCTGCCAAGCAGGAAACACCATCAGAGCACTCCTGACATATGGTTGTCAAGCCTCTGCTTAAAGACCTCCAAAGGAGGAGACTCCACCACACTCCTTGGCAGCAAATTCCACTGTCGAACAGCTCTTACTGTCAGGAAGTTCTTCCTAATGTTTAGGTGGAATCTTCTTTCTTGTAGTTTGGATCCATTGCTCCGTGTCCGCTTCTCTGGAGCAGCAGAAAACAACCTTTCTCCCTCCTCTATATGACATCCTTTTATATATTTGAACATGGCTATCATATCACCCCTTAGCCTCCTCTTCTCCAGGCTAAACATGCCCAGCTCCATTCCCCACCAACCACCACCCCATGGAACAATTTCTCCCATAAGTTCCTCTAAGAGTCTTCTCTTTTCTTTCAGATTCAGTGACAAAATACACAGCTGACTGGAATATTTATTTTAAATTTTTCAACTTTTATTCTTGATTCCCTTCAACATTTGTTAATACAGTATAAATGTGCAAATGTTCTGAACAATACAGACTTCAGGAGATAAACAAGGAGAAGTCATTTGTGCAGTATCAAAACTAACACCCCTTGGTTGGAAAAAGAAAATACAACCCCCCTCCCTTATTTTTAATGTATTTTTTAAAATTGTCATTAAAAACCGTCCCTTGAAAGGCATTAAGTATGCAAAACACACCAGAAGCACCTAGAATGTGCCCCTCTAATTATGTACTGGAAACAATAAGTTCACATAACTCAGCCCTTGTTCTGCCTAAACATACCTGAACAGTTGAAATTTATTTATTAAATTCATATCCCGCCCAAGCCCATGAACAACAATGTATGAGGCTGCAGTTGACATTCTCATCCCCCAATTCTTGGTGTGCAAGTATTACTGTAAATAGGCCTACATTTTCAATTGCTGTTAATCATCTAGACGTAATGGTGTCTGCAAAGTAAAAGTTGCAGGTTTCTGTCTGATTGTTCTATAGAAGATAATCAGTTTTACTTTACCTGACAACAAACCTTTGAATTAACACATCTGTCCTGGCTAAGTCTCCTTGGAAAATGTAGAGAAGAAGTGGCAGCAACTGATTATGGAAAGTATCTGAGGAAGATATTGTTGCTAAAGAGGATCTGGGGAATAACCGATTGCACCGAAGTTCTTTTCAGAATCGCCGGATTGGTCCTCAAAGTGCTCTTTCAAACTAAATGTAATTCAGAAGTGTTCATACATGCTTATCTCTAGGCCCCACTGATGCCAGTCACAAACATTTCAATACATTAAATGGGACTCGGTCATCACTTTTAATACCAGGTTTTTATTCCAACCAAGTATGAAGTATACATTCAACCACTGACTACTTCAGGAGCTATGAACTTGACTTGTGAAGTCCCAGAGAGGGGGACATGGACAGCACTAGTATTTCATACAGTACTTCTAATAATAGAAAAGTAACTTGGGTCAAATTATTATTTATAAAGGAACCTCCTACTGAATTTAAATAAAGTAGCTCTGCAAGGGCTTAGAGCTCAGAGTTCCTTTTGTCCTGCTGCTTGCCTCTGAGGAAAACTGCTCTTTAGCACTCAATTGGAGCAAACAGCAACTGGGTTTTTTGCAGATGGTCACTGGTTCTGATTTAGAGCTAAAGAAAGGAGCGGGCCAGAAGGGAAACTGCTCAGACCCATGCTGTCTAGGCATGGAACAAGCAGAAGCAGGGACAAGCCTCAAGTGTAAGTTAAACACATCTCAAGCCCAAAGTTTTAAAGGTATCAGAAAATCTTGGTTTATTATACCACTAGGTGGTGGTCTAAAATCACTGAGAATTTCCATATAGTCCACCAGTTCAGAACGATGAACATATCAATTCCCTTCTTATATTTTAAAGTTATCCAACATGACATTTCATGCGTTCCTTTTTCTGGGTGGTTAGTTTTCAATCTGTGGTAATTTAAAAGTGAAATTGGCTGCATTAAACTTCAAGCTGATAAGGGTTCTTCAAATAATTTTAGCACATATTTGAGTATCTTATACTGTATTAACAACTTTTGGTGACAACAAGCAAGAGGTATACTCGAATCAGAAGCGTTAAGACTAAATGCCTTGTTTTTAAAAACTACATAAGCCAAACTCACTTTCACCAAATTCATGAAGGTGATCTACAGAGGATAAAGTGCATTTTCTTTGTACTACTGTACTACTTCGGCCTGCAAAAGTGGGATGAGTCATCCTTCTTTGAATGCTCAATGGTGTAAAAAGATCACATGTAGTAAACCATCACATCGGAGAAAAGGTTTAATACACCCCATTCCTTTATTCCGTATTAGTTTGCGGCACAAAGGGAGATGTTCAGATTTTACAAAGGGGAAGCATTTGAAAACGACACGCCTATGGACCCTGGTGCAATCTGAATCTATCCCAGTTCTGCCATATTCTGGCACAACAGACAGAATGGCTTTCAGATATGCACTGTTCAGCTTGGAAAAATTATTTTCTGTTATTACTGAGTTTTTACTGTTATTATTGAGTTTTACATTGCATTACATACAGAACATACACATGTTCTGTTTAACACCGTTTAAGTACAGCGACATGCTAGAAGATAACATGGTGCCTATCAGCGGAGCCTATCGGTTGTCTTAGTTGAAAATTACATTTTGCTGGAAACTGGGGGTCTGACTTTACACGTGTGATTCTGAGTCGCACACAAAGCAAGAACGTCAGCTTCAACGGTAGAAAGTGCGCCTACACTCAGTGACCCGAGTTTGAATGATACGCCTCACTGACTGCTGCAGAGCAAGCAGTACAGGAGTCAATTTTATGCAAAAATCTACCCTTCAAGCTAAAGGAGAAATTAATATTTCATGCTGATTCCCTACCAACAAAGAAACCTGGTCCCATGGAAACCGAGCTTTGAACATAGCCTCATCCTGCCTAGGCCCAAGACTCGCTGGGTTCCCGTTATATTTGTTCACAGTCAAGCTCAGCATGCGTTCAAATTGCTCCAACGAAAGAATGGCTCCATATCTCATTACCAATCCCTGAGTGTTTCTTTCTCTACCATTGTTTTAAATTTTCATGAAGGGTACCAGTGCTGAATTTCTGCATGTTCCTGTTTGTCTAAGAGAAGCTGGGATACAATTAGCTGCCGTTTTCCAAAAGGAGAAGCCAAGCCATTACGGATAAACCCATCTTCCAAAGGAGCTGTCCCTAAAATACACTGTGAAGCTGGAGCCAGGGAGGGAGGTTATGGGATGGAAAGGACAGAGAAGATGGAAGGCCGTGGTCCCTAAACTATCAGTGAAACCAAAACCCATCAGTCACGCCAGCCTTGCTTCATCTAAGAAGATGGTGACACCTCCAGTGCATTCTTAATCTGGTCCAAGCTGTGTCTTATGGAGGAGAATTAGGTAGCAGAATGTACGGTATGTGCTACTTTGCAGATAGGAATTATATTAAAAAAATAAACACCAGTGCAAATTATTAAACTAGCACTGCAAGACGGCTACATCATTCTAGGTAGTACATGAGTGCATTAAAAAATTATATATATACGTAATGCAGTCTAAAGTGATATGGTCTACTCTTATCATCTCAGGACTTTACTGCCTCATTCTGGTGCATCTGTAAATCCAGCCTAACTGGCCTTCCTTCAATGATTAGGGTAAATCTGTGTGTCCTTTCAAGGTAGGCAAGACTGGGGTAGTAATTCAATACCATTACAGTATCCTTGGATCCCGAACGCCTTGGTACTCAGACGTTTTGGCTCCCGAATGTCGCAAACCCGGAAGTGATTTTTCTGGTTTGCGAACATTCTTTTGGAACCTGAACGTCCAATGAGGCTTCTTCTGTGGCTTCCAATTGGCTAGAGGAGCTTCTTGCAGCCAATCAGAAGCCGCACTTTGGTTTTCCCAGCGTTTTGGAAGTCGAATGGACTTCCGGAACGGATTCCGTTCAACTTCCAAGGTACGACTGTATCTCATTCTCAAAAGACACACAGGTCCCAGAGCTCACCCCATGCAGAGTAGAAGGATAGCAGGAACAGCTGAAAGTGAATGGGGTGTTTGAAGCTCCACTATCTTAGGCTGCCTGTGTACACATGACATTTACTCTGGTTCCAGTTCGTTCCCATGGCTGGTGTTTGAAGCTGTACATGACGTTAGCTACAATCCATATCTGTCTTAGGTTTTCCACAAACCAATTCCCATCTGATTTCATGTTAATTTTGTGGTTAAGTGGAGGTGTGTACATTTGAGACAGCCACTGCACAAACAAAAACGGCTTCTTTCGAGCTGTGGGGAGAGGTTGCAGGCATGGGGAAGCCAAACAGGCAACGTGCATCGGATGAAGACATCGCCAGCCCCTCTCTGGCTATGTGTAAAGGTAAAGAAGGGAGAAGAAAAGTCTCACCACATTACCCAGACAGCTGATTTGAACAGGAGTGTGCAGTGGAGGCCACAGAAATGGGCTAAGGAGGAACTAGGCTACACAAAAATAACAGTCTTTGGAAGATACAAGAAGATCTTGTATTTTCTAGAGAGATGGACGCTACAGACCTTCACAATCAGAGCATAATCAGAGGATCCAGGAGGATGATGGAGAAGCAGCCAATTTCATGGTCATAGAGCTCCTGTCAAAACCAGTCTTCACAGCCAGCTGCACCCCATCGAAATGGACTCCCACCCCTCCCTTTCTCTCATATCTGTTCTGCTGAAATGTTCTCCCCTCCTCTTTTCCACATCCCAAGATCCTTCAAGCGAGTTGCAGAGGGAAGCCGGCTGCACTATCTGAAACATCTCAACAACGGAAGAAAAATTGTGAGAGCCAACAGATTATGTGAGCAAGATAAAATTGCATATATGGCTACATTACCTGGCTTCCTCTTCACCAACTCAGGAGGTGAGGTGAGGGACAGAAGGGGGGGGGAGGATACACACCTAGAGGAAGGTTTCTCTTTTGCTATGGGGGAATCGTTTGCTATGATTAAACAAATAGGATCCCACAGAAGAAAAACGGAATTTGGACATACTAGTACAGGGCATCTTACTAGAAGAAAAGGTGGCTCGCTCTCTTCCACAAAGGAGCTGTGAATTCACAAATACCTAAATCAGAGTGGTAAACAGATCACTGAGACCAAGCATTACTCCTGTTTGCACTATCTGTACTATTACTGACTTGTAAAATATTTATTCCTGAAATTTACAACTCAGGAGGCAGTTCAAGCCTGAAGGCCACAGGTAACTAAAATGGAACAGACCAAATTGGGTTATGTCCCTGAACCCTGTCAATCTTCACCATATACCTGGATCTACAACCCAGTTCTCCTGAGTTCACAAACCTGTATTTATGATGTGCTGTCTCCAGTTGCAGGTAGCAATTGAAACTATTAAATGCCTCCCATAACAAAAACAAAACTCCTGTAATAGCATGGCAGGTGGATGAGGTCTGGTCTGGTCTTCTCCTTGACATGCTACTTTGCTATATGCAGGGATTCCCTCCACACACACACTCCTACTTTTGGTTTTCAGGTACGTGAACCCTGACATCCATTGTAACAGACACAGATTTAGTATTTCGGTTAGAATTGTGCCTTTGTAAATGAGCATTTCCGTAGTCCTTCCCTTTTATATTATTTATCCGTTCCCACTTCTCTTTGACATACCTACAAATTTCAGCAGGTAACTCAGGACAACTTAGAAACATCTGCCTAAAAAGCTTCTTTGGCCAGCAACTGTTACACTGCAGTAAAAAAAAAAATGTTTAGGACATAAGGCAGCTTTTTTATGGTAGTTCCAGACTGCAAGCAATTCCTTGTTTATAATTTATAGAGGCAACTCCCTTTGTTAATTTACTTATATACAGTATTTATACGCAGTTTCATCTTTGCTGGTTTCCTTCAAGAAGGCCGGGCCTGAGCCCTGTCCCCACGGCGATCCCTCAGGATTCCTTGATGGCCAGATCCACCCTGATCCTGCGCTGCAGGAGGTGTGCGGTGACAGCACTGCAAGCCACTAAACCAAAGAAGGAGCCGCAGGACAGAATGACGGAGAGGGGTCCATGCCGCCTGCGGAAGATGTCTTGCCTGTTCTTGTAATCCAGGAAGATGGCTTCCTGCTGGGAGAGTGTGCAGATGGCCAGGAAGGCGTGGAAGATCTGGTGGGCATGGCCAACGATGTCGCAGGAACCTGGGAAGTACTTCTCGGGAACCGGGCAGGAGAAGAAATAAGCACTGACGAGGAAGAAAAGTATCTGGAAGGTGTGGTACCAGGCAGCCGTCTCCTCGCAACCTTCAAGGTGGCACATGACCACACGGTGCGCCACGGGGCTGATGTCCAAGACGAAGGCCAGCCCTGCTGGGATCACCTGGCACACCTTCCTCATGACGGGGTAAGGGCGTCGGTAGCGGTACTTGGCGTAGCAGCAGCCGGCGCAGGAGAGCCACCCACAGAAGGCAGCTGCCGGCAGGAAGAAGAGCCAGAACTTGTCATACCAGGCTTGATCAGAGCTATAGTAGAAATGGGCCAGGGCACTTCCGTACTGGTACACGCTGACCCCGACGTAGTCCACAAAGTAGAAGGTGTAGTGGAACATCTCAGACTTGGACTGCAGGAGATGAGCCAAGAGGCTGCAAGTAAGATACGTGACAGAGGAGAGGACGAAGAGGAAGAGGGGCAGGGACTGGACTTCCAAACTCAACTCCTCCGCTTCCGCAAAAACATTAAACCTCAGCAGCACAGCCAAAGCTGCCAGCAGGTGGGTCCAGACGTTCACCACCTCGTTGTGCTTCTGGAAGAGGCTGAAGAAGTAGTAGCGCCAATGCTGCCCCGTGGGGCGATACCCAGCTTGGATGTACGGCTCCCGGAAGAGCTGGGGGACATCCGATTCTTTGACGGTGCCAGGCATCTTGGGGAAGCCTTCTTCTAAGAGCTTTGGGAGCCGGCGGAGTTGCTGTCCACTGACGGACAAGGTGCTGATCCGTTCCAGGATGGCTGTCATCGTGCCAAAGTGTTTGGCGAGGTCCTGTGGATCCCTGAAGCGAAAAGAGAAAGAGAAGCCATTAGCAAGAGCAGAAACTGAAAATAAGCAGAGGCAGATATTTCATAGTCTCTGTGTATGTCACTGTGTGTCACAAGATATGTAAGAAGTATGGACAGAAGGCAGGAGCAAGGGAGGTGGAACTCAAATCTTCTGTGCATGGTTTCCTTCTTCCCCTGTGCAAAGCTGCTATTAAACTTGTTTTAAGAAAACAACCACACATCCTAGGAGGAATTAAACATTAAGCTAAGGCGATGGTCGCATCTGGGCAAGCGTTTCAGCTTCTCAGAGGGAATGATACTCCATGTAAAGTTCTGGCAGCTCCCTCAACTTCCCTGAGGGATTTTGGGGGCAGAAAGCCCTCCTGAAGAAGCACTTCCACAGGGCTTCCGCTAATGGGATGCATTTGTTGACTCCCGCTCCCATACACAGATCTTGCAAACTAAGGAACCAATGAGCTTAAAATGTATGCGTTCTTACCATAATGCCTGTCAGAAAGGAGGCTTCTGCATGTGCTGTAAAGGAAACTGAGGGGCAGATGGGACTCAGCAACCTGGGAATGTAGCTCATCGAGGAGGCCCATCTGCCCTCATTTCTCCCCACAGCATGTGCAGAAACCACCTTCTTGACCATTGGACCCACTCTTGACCTTGTCCACTCAATCAGCCGGAGCCCACAGAAGGTTTGAGACCCATCAGCTCCCTCACCTGGTTTAGCCGGCCAGTAGAAGCCATTTTTGGAGGTGTGGCTGCTGACAGCTTCTAGAAGCCTGAGGATAGAGCTGAGCGCAGGGTATAGAACAAAGGAGGGCAAGCCACTCCAGAAGGAGCAGGCCATGTCCCCCACCAGAGGTACTACCCCTCCCCTAACACCCCAGTGGGGAGATAAGCAACTATTAAAGATCACTGTGCTCCTCAGTTTTGAAGGCAAGATCCTCTCAGCATGCCTCATTGTTTGGCATTCTTAGCTGGACCATAAAGAAGGCTGATGGCCGAAGAATGGATGCTTTTGAATTCTGGTGCTGGAGGAGACTCTTGAGAGTCCCATGGACTGCAAGAAGATCAAACCTCTCCATTCTGAAGGAAATCAGCCCTGAGTGCTCACTGGAAGGACAGATCCTGAAGCTGAGGCTCCAAGACTTTGGCCACCTCATGATAAGAGAAGACTCCCTGGAAAAGACCCTGACATTGGGAAAGATGGAGGGCACAAGGAGAAGGGGACGACAGAGGACAAGATGGTGGGACGGTGTTCTCGAGGCTACGAACATGAGTCTGACCAAACTGCGGGAGGCAGTGGAGGACAGGAGTACCTGGCGTGCTCTGGTCCAGGGGGTCACGAAGAGTCAGACACGACTAAACAACAAAAGCTGGCAGCCTAGTGTTCCTTGCTTTTGTATTACACTTCCAGCTGCTTCACGCTGGCATCTTACTAAGGCCAGGTGAGAAGTATCAGTCCAGCTAAATTGCAAAGGTTGTTGCCTGTGCAGAAACCCTCCTGAAGAGCAGGAGCATGAGATGGGCAATCCAGTGAGGAAGATTGACTTCCAAGAGGGCGGATAGTTAGCTTACAATTACAATAGCCAAGGCAGCCATCTCCCCACTCCCCTAAGTACAATTGCACATGGTGATTTCTTGCTCTGTTTTGAAAGTCACAGTTCCTAGCTGCTTCAAGCATCAAATTATGTTTTTTTAAAAGGAGGAGGAAGAAAGGGGAAGAGGAAAAAGGCCCTCTGACCACGTAATAATTTGCTAACTCTTCCCTCCTGTGAAAGTCAAATGATTTTCTCCACCCACTTCACAGATGTTACCAAATTCCCACTCCTCCACTGTTGAAAACAAAGTTCCAGCGAAAGGGAGTCTAATTTTCACATCCACCTCAACAAGAGCTCCTTTTCAAAACAACTATTTTTGAAGTTTAAATTAACTCAGAATTCACTGTTTCATCTTTCCCTGAAATAGAAAGAGCAGCCATACTCAACTTCACCCCACCACCACCCCTCCCAACACAAAATCAAAAGGTGTGGATGATGACGGCTAACCATGTGAGAGCTTTCATTAGTTTTTGTTCAATCCACTTGTTTTCTCGTTTTTTAATGCCAGCATCTTCCACACAGTTTCCATTCAGTACTAAGGTCCAAAACCGATGCTAAATGTGTTATTAGGAACCACATAACTCCCCCTCCCCCAGTTCATTATTAGCAGGTGCAAAGGACACATTTTCTTTATCGCAATGACACTACAAGTTTCCCATGACCACAGATAACCATCACATGCTGCCTGGATATGTAGAGCAAAACAAGTGCATCTGTCGTGTCTTGATGAAAACATTGGTGTTAGAAGAGTTAAATTAAGTGTCAAGATTTCTCAGAAAATAACTGAACACTTAAGAGTTGGAAAACAAGCTAAAAAATATTTAAAAATCAACAGCACTCACTGAATCCTTCATTTGAGAAAATTCCAGGACATTAGCAAACAAGAACAACTTGCCAGTTTTCAGCAGTCATGTGGTGATGATGAAAGCAGCAAGCAATTAACATTACAGACTGAAAAGCCCAAGGTCAGCAGCCTTCACTGTTTCACTTCCACAAAGCTTCTATTCTCTCATTTCTGCGTGGGCGAAGCCGTTTGCTGAACAGCTATATTCATTTCGCAGGGCATCTATTTCAGCCTCAGCTTACCCTCTATCCTTCGGAGAGCTGAACTATTTTGGCTACTCCCAAATAACAGCATTTGTGTGCAACTTGTCTGAGTAACTTAGCCGATGCAAATTAAAGAGATTGGGGGAGGCGCAACTAGCTGGTGCACGTATTAAAGAACGTGAGGATAAAATGGGTGTTGCTATAGCCAGAATACTCCGGATAATGCTGGGAAGCATCCAGGTCCGCCCCCATCACACACACCCCCCCCCGAGTCCTTCCACACAGCTTCTGAAATGAAACCAAGCATTGCTCACACACTTTCAAGCTCATCTTCACAACTGCAAGAGCTTTTAAAACTTGTTAAGTCAGTTTAAACAGAAAGGAGAGCATCTATCAGATGGGTTTGCCTAGAATTCTGTAAGGTGTCTTCTGCATAATACATCTGGCATAGGGAAACCAATTCTCAATCACATCTGGCTGACTGCAGTACTAAAACAGGATACTGAGCTCATATACTCCCATCTGCAAAGTTATGCTCATGTGTCCCTAAGGAGTACAGAATTCGGCATTTCTATGGTTCAATAGTCCACAGTTTTTGCTTTTAGACGTGTTTCCAGAAGTATGAGTGTAGCTACGTATGTTTTGCTGCGCTTAGCATTTGGGGGAGGGGGGGTCTATGTAATACTCCCCCCAAAATTTCTGAAGGAGTTCTAGTTTAGAAAAAGGTTAGATGCAATACACTGGCAAATTATTTCCCCAAACTTTTAAATTATTTTTAAACCTTTTCTATGGAGGTCAGATTGATTTTATTTGTGTGTGATGCAATAGCCGCTACAAATCATAGGAATAGTACAGATGCCTAAAATCACAAAATAGTAGCAGATAAGGACTCCTGGTAAAGGGACCCCTGACCATTAGGTCCAGTAGCGGACGACTCTGGGGTTGCGGCGCTCATCTCGCTTTACTGGCCGAGGGAGCCGGCGTACAGCTTCCGGGTCATGTGGCCAGCATGACTAAGCCGCTTCTGGCGAACCAGAGCAGCACACAGAAACGGCGTTTACCTTCCCAACCTATTTATCTACTTGCACTTTGACGTGCTTTCGAACTGCTAGGTTGGCAGGAGCAGGGACCGAGCAGCAGGAGCTCACCCCGTCGCGGGGATTCAAACCACCAACCTTCTGATCGGCAAGCCCCAGGCTCTGTGGTTTAGACCACAGTGCCACCCGCGTCCCTCAAGGACTCCTAGTAGGACACAGCAAAGAAGCAGGGGCAAAATACAGCAGTTATGATCACAAAATCACAGCATTGTATTATTATTTATTTATCATTTATAAAAAATTGTATACCTCCCTATACCTGTAGATCTTAGGGTGGTTCACAATATTAAATCACAATTGTCGAGTTGGAATGGACCTTGAGGGTCATCTAGTCCAACCCCCTGCAATGCAGGAATCTCAACTAAAGCATCCATGACAGGTGGCCATCCAACCTCTGCTTAAAAACCTCCAAGGAAAGGGAGTCCATCCCCTCTCATGGGAGTCCGTTCACTGCCAAGCAGCTCTTACTGTCATAAAGTTCTTCCTTATGCTTAGTCCGAATCCCTTTTCTTGTAATTTGAAGCCACTGGTTCAAGTCCTACCTTCAGAGAAGGAGAAAACCAGTCTGGTCCATGGGACAGCCCCTGAGATATTTGAAGATGGCTCTCATATCTCCTCTCAGTCTCTTATTCAGCAGGCTAAACATACTTGACTCCCTCATAAGGCTTTGGCAGCACCCCTTCCAACCTGGAACGATTCATTTGTTTGATGGGCTTGAACCAGGGGTAGGCAACCTAAGGCCCGGGGGCAGGATGCGGCCCAATCGCCATCTCAATCCGGCCCACGGATTGTCCGGGAATCGGTGTGTTTTTACATAGGTAGAATGTGTCCTTTTATTTAAAATGCGTCTCTGGGTTATTTGTGGGGCATAGGAATTCGTTCATTTCCTCCCCAAAATATAGTCCAGCCTACCACAAGGTCTGAGGGACGGTGGACCAGCCCACGGCTGAAAAAGGTTGCTGACCTGACCCCCTGGGCCTTGAATGCATACATTCTCATGCAAAGCTGCATGTAGCAGAATCCACTGCAAACAGTTATCCAGTGATAACTGTGGTTGCATGGTACGCAGAAAGCCAATCAAGCCCGAATTCACAGAAATGCTGTATATGAGCGAACACTGTTAGAAGCTGGCACAGGCTAAGTTCAATTATGTGACCTCTGCAAGCTCCAGTGGAGAACTGAGCGATGCACGGTTCCTCAGGGGAATAACCTATACAATAGGACTTTAATTCCAGTATTAGCTGACCTGACTTACACCTCCTGGAATAATGTGTGGATCAGAATGCAGCTTGCAGTTCTCCAATTATGGTGGCACAGTTCTCTGCTCAAAAGATATATCAAAATGTATTGTGAGAGAAAATATATCTAATGGTGGGTATTTCCAGAAATACATATTTAGATTCACATTTTAATGCAGTTTTTTTTATATTTAAAAATCATGTTAATGGAGAAATGAGGCTGAATGAACTTGTCAGTGACTGTAGCTGGAGAAATAATTGATTAGTTAGTTCATTCTTAATTTTTGTACTATGCCTAAAATTGTGGTTAGGGCTTAGCAGGAAGACTGAGTTGGAAAGTGTGTGAGAAAAAGGAGCTGCATAAGATGATCGATCCACAACAAAGAATATATAAAAGCATTATGCGTTCAGAAAAAAAACAACAGTAAAAAGATAAGTTATCCAGTGTATTTATATTTACGCAAAAGCTGGAAAAAAGCTTTAAATCCGCAAATAAACAGAGGAAATCTTTGCTGAAAGGCTGTAACAGCGTAAAAAAGTCTATCAACAAAAGCTATTATACATTCCTTACCCACTTGCAAAATTGACTCAAGAAAAACAAAACTACTATTCTAAGTACCAAAAATAACTTAAAAACAAAAGTGCATGAGGAGGAGATTCCTCTGCATAGTTTTTCAGCCAAATATATGGCTTCTTATACTGTTTATGGAGAAGTGAAGAAGTTAACATTCCTTCCTTTTACCCTTACTAGGAGCGGCACACTAATCCTAATTAACTTAATAAACTGTAAGAGCTTTTGTGTAAATTCTACCACTGTTGATTCTGCAACTTGTACACATGAGATGCTTTTATAACCTCATTGCTTTCCTTTTCTCCAGCTCCCTCCACAGCGCTCCTTTTGAAGACTTGCCACACCTAACCAGTGACATTATAAACCTTTGAAGGTTGGAGCCCGGACTTCCTCTGTGCAAGCAATAACAGGGCAACAGGCCCAAGCCACCCGGGGGTTTAAAAATCTGCGCCCAGAGACAAGTTAGGCTGCCAAGACAGCTCGTCCAGTACCTTTCGCTGGGAGTTTTGAAGCGGGAAACTGACCTGTTCCTTTTCCAACCAGTGCTTGATTCCTGCATACAAACAAGAATCTAGGCATCCCAGGCCTCAAGATTCCTGGGTCTTGTGTGTGTAGCATTTGATGGGCAATTAGATAATCCAGGAAGAAAACTGCAAGGGAACCTCCCTTCATCTCCTTCATCAAAGCACACACACCAAAAAAAATGCACTCTTGGCAATTATTAAAGAAACAACAATATTCCATATTCAAAATAAACGGAGCAGGTTACAATTCAATGGGGCTGTGTTGAAAGATTATGGAGAGTCTATTCTCTTAACCTACCCACTCCCCGTGGGAGCACCAACGGACCGGTCAACAAGTTAATGTGATCCAATTTAAGTAATCTCGAGTGGGATCTCCTGCAATTAATTGCAGGGAGTAGATGAGGGCGGGCCAGCTGGGTAAGAAAGGGCTTGCATCGTCCCCCTGCCAGTGGAGTCCCAAGGACCAGCTGTCTGAGCAATTCCTCCTTGACTGTGGAGGAGGATGAGCGCCAGATTCGCCGCTAAGGAAAAACCGAGGCAAAAGCCCACCTTCAGGCACCGCGCAACGCCGCTGAAAGAGAGAGGCAACGCAAACAGGACACGCGGGTGCGCAAAGACAAGCCCGGGCGCAGGCAGAGAGGACCGAAGAAAACGCAGCAAGCGCCCTTCGCGGAGGATTCCTCGCAGCGGCGTTGCAGACCTCGCCAAGCGCCCTGGCAAGGCTCTGCGCAAAGTCCTCCGCGCCCTTCTGCCGCTCCTCTCCGGGCATCGGGGCACCTGCGGCGGAGCGCCAAGGGGCTGCCAGGAAAAAAGAGAGACGGGCATCATCCGGCGGGGGTGGGGGTGGGATCCTGCCGCCTCACCTGGCCTCGGGCCGGGATGCAAACGGACCTGGGGGAGCTTTTTAAAAAGGTGAGTGGGGGAGCCCTCGACTGCGCCTGAGCGTTGGGCTGCGCTTGACTGCGGGTGCGGGAGGACAAACGGCACTCTGCACATGCTTGGAGGGCATTCTGGACAGCCCGCCCCCCCCCCGACTCGCGCTGCCAGCTCACCTGGAGCAGCAGGTAGGTGGGCGATGCGCGGCGCCCGCTCAGCTGCCGGGGGTGCGCGGCGGAGCCTCCATCCCGGCCCCGGAGAAGCTGCCCGGCGAGCTGCCGGCGCCTCCCTCTCGGCCGCCGCGCCCCTTCCTCCGCCTCCTCCCCGGCCGGGCCCGCGGACTCCTCCTCCGGAAAGGGGCTTCTCGCCCCGCCGAGGCCGACGAAGCTGCGCGCCCGGCCGCCGGGGGAAACCGTCTTGCGCGCCACGACGCGGACAACGGCTTGCTGGCGGCGCACAACCACAAGCAGGGGCGGGGTGGGGGGGGGTGTTGTTTTTTGGCTGACTTCAGTTCTCAGAAACAGATGTCTTGTGAGAATGATGAAATTCTTCAGGCTATGAAAGTAAACAGGTCAGAAGATCCCTTCAGCCCTCCGCCCCCTTCAATAAAATATTTGAGGGGGCCGGACCCTCCAAAGTTGATGGGCATTGCCATTCAAATGATGTGTGCGCACCGCATCATGTTATTGATTAGGTGGGCGGGGCTTGCCTCCCACCCACCCGAATATTTTATTCAAGTTGGCCTTCCTGGTTATTATTATTATATATTACATTTCTATATCTTCCTTCATCTGAGGATCATGGGGCAGTTTTCAATATAAAAACACAAAAATACCGTAGTAAGGAACAACAACCAAAAAACTACTCATCAACTCCCCCAGTTTAAAAGGATCAGTGGTTCCCAAACATTTTTATGTGGGCCACACTCAGAATCCGTTTGCGCAGCACTGATGTTTTTATTGATAGGAAATACATTGGGAAACAAACAATTCCCAGCAGTGCTTGATTTGTAACATAGAATACAACTACGTTAGAATACGATCATGGGACAGCCAGAAAATATAAAACAATGCAGCCACATAAGAACATGAACAACTTGATGCTCTTGCTCTCATTTTGATCCTACACTGAATGTTTAGATATTTTATGATTGCTCATGAATCTTGTCATCCTCTCCTGCTATGCCCTTTGAGAACCCCTGCCATAGATTGCTTAATTAGCCAAAGGCCTAAAATATCATGAGAAATCTGTAAGATGCTGTATAACCAAAACTGAACTGTATAAAGCTGTGCTCCTCCAAGGTCGGCTCCTGTGAGGTCTGCATCTTAGACAGCTGCCTGGTTGGCCTAATGAGAGCGTGGGAACTGCCTCCTCTCTCCACCGCCCTCCTCTTCTTCCTCTTCCTGCATTTCCTCTTCACCTGCCCTCCGTTGTAGCATTTTTTTATTATAGGGTTTGCAGGGCCAGTGCTATCAGTAGGGCCACTAGGCAGCTGCCCAGGGCACAGACCTCAAAGAGGTGAGTTTCCACAATCGCACCTGAAGCCCAAATCACGGTAGTCAAAACATATTGGGTGCAATGGCAGGTGGGGTTGCCAGTGTCTTCTTTTTCCCTGGATCTCCGCCTCCTTTTTATTTTTTCATAATTTTTCTGCCAAGTGCGTAAAGTTGAATGTTATCTTGCCCAGGGCAACTAAAAGCAACTTACAATGAAGCAAACAATCCCCACCCCAAATTAAAACCAGGGCAAAGAGAAATATATTTTTTAAAAAACCACACACACCTTCCCACTTATCAAAATAAAGCTATGGTGAAACTCTCACTGTGGTTGTAAGGATGCTTGGAAGAGAACCTGCTCTGTTTCCCAGATCAGAATCTGGGCCACTATGGGGACAGTGTCAGCATCCTGCACAATCACAAGATATGTGTGTGCCCACAAGCATTTTCACAGAAACTGACAGCTACAAGCTGAATCCCAGTTTTTGGCACCGTCACAAACTTGCATTCTGCAAATGTTCACCCTGATACAATAGGATCACTCAAACGATCACATGCATGAGAGTCACTTTGACTTATGCACACTCATCTTTCCTGACGCATGCTATACAACGTGCTGCACTTGTTTTTTTCCACAGTCAGCTTAAACAGCCCCTATCTTACCTCTGCAGGTCTTCCCAAATCTAGTTTATAATATTTACTGACAATGATCTGCAATCATCAGCTTTAAAGACTAGCAGCAATGGAAGAAACAACATCTCTCTCCAAACCCTTGATCTTTTCAAAGATAGTTTCTTTTATATTACCAGATCTTCATGTCCTTTAGGTCAATTTGTTTTTCAATAGCACAGCAGCTGTGAAAAACAGCTGTGGCTCTGAAATCCTTTGAAGCTCTGAAGGGGTAGGAGAACAATGGTAGTTCCCCCACTCTGTGTATTCTGAAAATTCAAATAGAGAAGCAACTATAAACTGGCCACAAATGCATGACTTTCAAGTGTATGACTACTCAAACACAGGTCCAAATAGTGCTATCGCCCATTACACAGCAGTATGCCCAAGTTTGTCTCACAATGTATAGGCAACAGAGAGACTCAAACAACCCCCAGCTCTCTGTTGAGTATGATACACATACTTCCAAACACTACATTACAGTGTTAAGTGTGCAATTTGAAAGTGTGCACCTTCAAAAAGGCCAGAACTTGAACACATTCTTGACTCATTCTCAGGTTACAAAATCATGCAGCTTTGCTGGAAGCTGCCGTGATCCTTTCTGCAGCACATCACTGAATACGCTCAGATTAGAGGTGGTAGACTTGTGGGCTAACCCAGCAAACTCCATTAAGCAGTAAACCTTCTCTTTTTCCTTCTGAAACACCTCCCTAGGTCTTCAGTGGGTTCCAGAAAATCTGTCACTACATGCAAACCCTTCAGCTGAGCCTGGGCGCGGCTGCCTTTTCTTCGTTTTTCTTCCCACCTCCCCACTTTGGCTTGACCCGACCCAGCCTTGATGCAGCATCAGTCTCACCCTGGTTGGGAATATGCTCCCTGGCTGTGGAAGAGGCTGGGTGTTATGTACTGAAGTTCTCACCCTGGGCCAGCAGGGGGATATTGTAGATAGTTATGCAAATAAGGGATCGAAAGTGACGTTCAGTGATTGGATAGTTTTAGAAAATTGTTACAGTTACATTGTACTGGAGCTCTATATAAGCAGGCTGACTGAACCCTACAGTTCTGTCCTGGCCTGTGAATAAACAAGAGCTGTTTGAAGAATTGCTGTGTTGTCTGATATGTTCACCCACAACTTAACACTGCACGCCCAATTTTAGTGGATCACATGCCACAAAAGGCAGAGGGTTGTGGCGGGAGGCCTAGAAGCCAAGGGGCACCTCTGCTCTCTGTAGAAAAGAGGGGCTTGGACTGGTGGCGGCAGTGGGGCGCTCACTCTGGAAGGGGTATGTCCAGACACCTCCCGTTCTGGAGGGCAAGCCCCACAGTGTGAGAGTCCACTCAATAGTAAGGAGTGGTGTTCAGTGCACACTCTAAGAGTAGGAGGGTTGGCCAGGCAAATGGACACAAGGAGAGGGCAAATAAGCAGTGGTTGCGACAGAGGAAAAGAAAGGCCCCCATAGAAAAGCAAAACAAAACCTTGAAACCTGCAAGAAAGAGGGAAGAGGCTCAGGTCCCCAGAGGGAGAGAAAACCTTAAAAAGGTAAAGGGACCCCTAACCATAAGGTCCAGTCGTGGCCGACTCTGGGGTTGCGGCACTCATCTCGCTTTATTGGCCGAGGGAGTCGGCGTACAGCTTCCGGGTCATGTGGCCAGCATGACTAAGCTGCTTCTGGTGAACCAGGGCAGCGCACGGAAACGCCGTTTACCTTCCCGCCAGAGTGGTACCTATTGATCTACTTGCACTTTGACGTGCTTTCGAACTGCTAGGTTGGCAGGAGCAGGGACTGAGCAACGGGAGCTCACCCCGTTGCGGGGATCCGAACGGCTGACCTTCTGATTGGCAAGCCCCAGGCTCTGTGGTTTAACCCACAGCGCCACCCGCATCCTTAGTTAACATTAATTAAAGTAACAAGCAGATACTATGTCAGTCAGAAGTCAAGTATGCACAGGACTGTAACTTGAATATTTCAATGCTGATTTGCCTTTTTAAAAAGAATTAATCGACTAGAAATATTATCTTACGGAAATGAACTAAATAATAAGAATCCAAAAATTTAAGGAAAAAATTAAACAAAGCCTTAATGGGATGCCGGCTACAAACCTCGTTTCACTGAACTATTCAGTTTCCTCAGAAGGAAATGGAAAAAACATGAACCTTAAATGACCAAAATTCAAAAAAAGGGGGATAGAACTCCCAAAAATTCTGAAGTATTATAATCCTAGCTCGACCTAGGTGAAGCAAAGCGCAGTAATAAAGGATTGAGGACTCAAAGATACAGTTTCTAATACTGAATTTACAAAAAAAGGTTTGAAAAACTAAATGGCAAGTGTTAGACAAAGCCCAGCTTAGAAGAAGCAAAGCACAGTAACAAAGAGTTGAGGACTCAGCTGTGAAAATTCTAGTGTTGCCTTTACAAACAGGTTTAAAAAACCTAAATGGCACAAATTTCAAGGTATTTCGTTTGTTTTGTGCAATTTCTCGGTTCCATGACAGTCTTTTTTCTACTGGTTTTTAAAAAGAATGGCAGGACTCTGCAAATTAAAAAAAAAAAACAAAAAACCCTTTTTGTTTTGGACCTACAGCTGTATGTTACTTCAGTCTCAAAGAATCTGAGGATTGTCTGCAGATGTCATCATCCAACCAAGTACGGCTGCTGGCTATCTTGAGTTTTTGAGAATGACGTACCTTTACCAGAAATCCTGTTTATTTTGATTTCAGGCAAGTTGGCCTGAGGAGTCAAAGTCGAAGAAAGGCAAGTTAAAGTGGCAGAGAAGATGACATCAGGTGGAAGAAAGTGAGCCAGGTAAAATGGAAAGTGAGAGGGAGAGACGAAGGCAGGAGCAGCAGGTGAAAGGAAACAGAAGAAGGCAGGAAAAGGTGTATAAATGTTTGAGAAAGCAAAGG